AATCACCAATGCCAATTTATGATAGTGTATACAAACAATTAAATGTGTGCTTGCTAAGTGGGGAAATAACAGTCATATAATTCCAACAAAAATTCAAGAAATATTACAATACAAAACAAACAACCATCCTTATCTTCCTCCATTAATCTCGAGCCGTAACCCTCACTCGGTGCTAAATTATTCGGCCAAAGATAAATTAGCCCGAGCCCTTACAAGCCACCTATTGACCTCCAATAGGGGCGTACCACGTGGCATATAAATACAATAACAAAAACAAGTCTCTCAGTACCTCTCGCACTAATCAAATAAATTCATAACAATATTGTACAATTATACAACATTACAATCTTCATAATTTTTTTCATTTTTAACAATATTATAATATGACATCCCACTTGGCAAAAATACTTCAAAATGCAAATTCACAATTTCACAATTTTTTCATAAACAGAATAAGGTAATTTCTCGACAACAATTCATAATTTTTTCAATAATCACCCAATTAACATGAAGCAACATTAAGCACAAATTAAAAGCATGATTACTTTATGGCTTTTTCAATAAATTATTCCTTACAATTTCTCTCCCATCACAATATTTACCAACAACACAATCTACAAATAATATATTATTTATAAATATTAGTTTCAATTATTGAAACTAATAAAATAACTCTAATAATAGAATTAGAGAATAACATAATTTCTAATCTCAATCTTAATATAAATCTAGAGTTAATACTATTAAGTAAAATTTCGAACTCCTCTTTTAGTTATTAATAAATATTAATAACCTAAAATCAACTTCTAAACTAATTTCTATTATCAAAATTTTTCTTTTTATTTAATAAATTCGCACATAAAATACCCAAAAATTAGAAATTGAGTCTCAAGCTTAGAATCATTATCCTATAGCCATAATAATTTATTTTTATCCTAAATAATCATTTAAACATCAATAAATTAATAAATTTATATTCTAAAACACTTATTATACTACTAATAACCTCAAAAATTATAAGTTCATCCCTAAAAACTTCAATCTATATTTTTAATTCATCATATCATCATTTTAATTATTCTATAGAAAAATTTCAGTCAAAATATTTGCTCTATTCTACAAAATAATCATATCACTAGAAAGCTAATATTATTTAGGAAATAACTATAGAATTAATTTTTTAATTAAATAATTTTTTAAATGTTAATCTAAATAGAAAAATTAGAGCATACCTGAAAAAAAGAAAATAAACCCTCAAAAGCGTTGAGCGACGTAAGAGTAAGAGAAGAAAAAATATATATAAAAATGAGATTGTGGGTCCCACAATTATATTTAAAAAAACTATATGTTTAAATTTAATTATTCAAACCTTTAGACCATTACTTGCAATTTTTTCTAAATTACATTTTGGGTCATTAGTTATAATTTTTACAAATTGCATAAAGGTTTCTTCCTGCCTCCTCCCTAATGCGCGTCGCTCCTTATACATGAGGAACGTTTTTGCCTTCCCACATCAGTTTGATGTGGGACTTCAACAATTCCCCTTCTATTTTTTTTCCCTCACACACACATAATTTTTTTATTCTGAATCTTAAAATTATATTTTAACTAAACATTTTTTATATAATTTTAAACCTAAGTTTTTAATTTATAATTAAATGCCTATTTTTAAATAATCTCAAATAATATAAATTTCTATTATTATCATCATTTTTTATCCTCAATAAAACCTAAATTTCAAAATTTTAAATTTAATTTTTATCTAAAAATCAGGATGTTACAATGGAGATGCAGAAAAGCAGAGATGCATTAATTAAAAAAAAAGGGCGGCGGACCATGCTAGCCATACGATAAAAAATATAGACTAAAACTACATGATAAAAAGAAAAATAAAGTAATAGACGTAAAGTCTGAGACTGATAATTTGTTAATGCTGGTCTTGATTGTTGAGAGAGAGCTCCTCTATTTATAGATGATCTTGACTTGGTACCCAAGCCCCATAATCATCAGTTTTTTTAAATTTAGGAAGCACTTCCTCCATCATATTCACTTATCATGGGTGATGGTTTTGACTTAATGGCTAAAACTTCATAAATATTCTTTTTTATATAATTATTTTAAAATCAATTAAGTTGAGTTGGGCCAGGGCCTCCATATTCACAATTTAAGTGCAAACACTGCCTCCCGTATACAAATTGGCCAGAGTTTTCGTAGGCTAATTTTGTATGAATATATCTTGAAGGACCGGCTCATTCTTGTTCTGATTAATATTTGATTTGATACTTTCTTGAAGGATACCCTTGTGATTGAGGATTAAGGACCATGTGGTCTAACTTAGGATCAAGTTTCTCAAGGTTTAGGACCTTAAGAGCTAGTTTTGGAATTGACCTTTCAAGTTTTTAGACCTTAAGGACAGATTCTGTAAAATCTAGCTATTGTGAGGCCCCTGTGGAGAGAACCTTTTAGGAGAAAGTTCTCGTGGAAAGGGCTCTTGCAAAACTTACCTTTCTGACTTTGGCCCCTGCGATATCGGGCCTTATGGTTGTGGCCCCTGTGACTTCAGCCCCTCTGATCCTGGCCCTTGTAGTGTTAGCTCCTTAGTTACGGTCCCCATGACTTTGGCCCTTATGACTTTAGCCCCTCTGGTGTTGACCCCAATGGCTTCAGCCCTTGTGGCTCCTGCCCCTCTGGTGCTAGCCCCAACGGTGTCAGCCCCAATGACTTTGGCTCTTGTGCCTCCGGCCCCGATGGCGCCGACCCTAATGGCTCTAGCCCTTGTGGCTTCAGCTCCTCTAGTGCTGGCCCTAATGGCTTTAGCCCTTGTGGTTGAACGGGTCTGTTATTGAAATAGACCTGCCATTTATTTTTTGAGGGATGTTATAGTAGTTATCATTATTGATCTTTCGGTCGAAGGGCACTTTGGGAGACTGCCCCCCGAGTCCATCTGTTCCTTAAAGGTACAAGCTAATCAGAGCTTGCTTTTGTGATGATCTAGACAGCATAGCAGTGATGTTCCTTAACCCTTCCTTCAAAGTTTGCAATAGAGCTTTTTGCCTCTCGTTAGCTCATACTTCATGTTCTGCGTGTGTAGCCACGTTCTTTGAGTCATAAGACTCGAGTCTATTCTTTCCAACAACATATTGATTCTTATGTGTCATAAGCATTTTTTTCACATGAGTCTCACCGGTTGTGCTAAAAATTGTTCGTAAAAAAATAAATAATTAAGGCGTGGTGTTGCGAGGCATGCCAACGATGCGGGGTCTTAAGAGGATGGAAAAACCTAACTTCTAATCAAACGCAGGGAACTTGAGTTTCCTTACCACAATTCACCTGAATGTGAGAATGCAAAGTAAAGAACACTAATGGAGATGTAGAAAAGTAGAGATGCATTAATTAAAGAAAAAGAATGGCGGGTTATACCAGTCATATAACGAAAAATAAAGACTAAAGTTACATGATAAAAAGAAAAATAAAGTAACAGATGTTGAGTCTGAGACTGATAATTTATTGATATTGATCCTGATTGTTGAGAGAGAGTTCCTCTATTTATAGATGATCATAGCTTGGTGCCCAAGCCCTATGATCATCAATTTTTTTGAATTTAGAAAGCACTTTCTCCATCATGTTCACTCATCACAAGTGATAGTCTTGATTTAATGGCTAAGACTTCATAAATATTCTTTTTTTTCATATAATTATTTTAAAGCCAATTAAGTTGAGTTGGGCCAGAGTCTTCGTGTTCACAATTTAGGTGCAAACACTCTTGATTTTCTTTTTTTTTTAACTTTTCAATTAATAAATAATATTTTGTTAAATACAAATGAGTATTTGTTAAAATATGATCAATGTTTGTGCTTTTTTACAACTAAGCTCTCTTCAGATTCTTGAATTTATCAATTAATAAATGATTTTTTATTAAATATGAATTTGTATTTATTAATTAACGAATGATTATTTATTGAGACATAACATATACTTATTTTCTTGTACAATTAAGGTCTTTTTGATTATTGAACTTATCAATTAGCAACTAATTTTTTATTAAATACAAATGGACACTTGTTAATTAACAAGTTCTTATTTATTAAAACATGATCTATACTTATCCCTTCCTATAACCAAGCTTTTTTTATATTTTTGAATTTATCAATTAGCAAGTTGTTTCTTGTTAAATAAGAATGGATATTTGTGAATTAATAAATAACTACTTATCAATTAAAAAAAATAAAAGTAATGGTATTATAATTTTTTTTCAAATCAATCTCTGAATCCTATAATAATATTTTAAATTTTTTTAATCTTTATTTGATATTAAATACCTTCAGTGATATTTGAATTATATTTTTAGGTCCACTCAAACTTCACTCTATAATTTTCTCATTCTCTCTATGCGGCTTTGGTTTCATGCGAGCTTGGGTTTTCTCACCACCCTTGATAAGATTCTAGGTCTCCTCATCGCATCTCATGATGCGCTCATGGGCTTACTAAATAAGTCAAAAAATAGTTATAAAATTATTTATAAATTATTTAACAATAAGATATTCATACGAACAATCAAAGTTGATTATGTAATTTTATAAATTATTAATTAAATTTTTATAAACTAAATCAATATTTATTAGATGCATCAATCCTTTTTATTTTTAGATGATATCACATCAAACGAAGATATCACATGTAATCTGAGAGGACCGTTGCATGATTCACGCCAGTTTTTTCGTCTTCTATTGATATTGATGACAAGAATATTAGCCAGATTTTATTTTTTTTAACAACATAATGTTAACCAGACGTGGATGCTTTATAGAGAAGTTGAGTTAGGTTCACTTGCATCCTATAAAAATGTAGTGTGTGATTTTCTTTAAAAATTTCATATGTATAGAATAATAATTTATGATATTAAAATTGTGTGGCCTTTAAATTCAAAAAAACAGTTTTTTATTTAATCCAGAACAAACATGAAACTGGGTCCGGTAGGTCGTGACGATCCGACCCGGATTCGGTCAAGGCGAATTATCCATGCATAAAATGGCGTGCAAATTACCCTCATCTCCGCCAGAAAAGTTACCCCATTGTTGCTTGCAGAGAATTGGAAAAATGCCGCTGAAGCTCTATGATGCCACGGTTTCAAGCTTCGACGGAGTCTTCGAGAAGTTTCGATCAGAGGCGCCGAAGAACAAGGCCAATCTCATCCTATTCCTCGCCGACAAAGACCCTGCTACCTCTCTCAGCTGGTGCCCTGGTAATCTCGAGTTTCTCTGACTGCTCTCGAGTCTCCATAGATTATATTTGTTTCTCTGTGTTATCGTTTCCCATTTTTCGGTTTTTCATAGAATCTTACTCTTAATTCTCAGATATGGTGAATTTTGGAGAAAACCTGGAATTCTGCAAGATTGTATTGATAATATACCTGTTTGTTTGGAGCATTGGGGCACAATTAATTAATTTTTGTTTGTGTAGCCTAATTGTAAACTTTTGAGGGATAATTCTATTATTAATTTGAAATTTTCGCATCTGTAAAGAGAAAATTGAGCGAGAATTGCAAAATACAACATGCAGTGAGAAAGCTCCACTTTGAGAGGTGAAACTCGTAATTAAATTACCCAACCTTCATCGCCATTCGACCAAAAAAGTGGAAGAACTTGTTGACGAATTGATTTTTGAAGGATATGGTTGCAAGACTGTCTGTTGGACTGCTCTGTTTCTGATATTTGGCCTGCAGACTTGACTGATTCATAATTTTCATTGTACGTTGGTGATTATTTTACTGATGACGATATCATACTAAAGATGAATAAGCTGGATACCAAGGGCTTGTTTGGGAGTTTTAATGAGTTGATTTAAAATTTTACTGTTTACAAATTTTATGACAAAGAATAGTAACTGTGAAGTATAGACTTCTAGTCACGGAAGAAAATCAGAGTGAATTGTGGGTGATGAAAGAAAAACTAGTCGTTAGAATTGAAGCTTTGAAATTGGAGTGTGAAATGTAAGAGGATTGGTTTGAGAATCCATCTTAACCCTCCCACTCCATTACTTGTTATCTGCAATCATTCAGCAGTAGTTTGAGCAATTGTTTCCATCCTGCCAAACCAGTCCTGCAGTGGTAAGAACTCATGTACCAAAACCCTGAAATGAATAGTTTCTGTTTGGCTCTTTTTCTGTTCATAGATTGTGTGAGGGCTGAACCTGTGATCTACAAACAGCTGGAAGCTGCATCAGATGATATTGCACTACTGAGGGCTTATGTTGGAGACAGACCAACATGGAAGAATCCTCAGCATCCATGGAGGTTGGACTCAAGGTTCAAGGTCACAGGGGTACCATCGTTGGTCCGTTGGGAGAATGACACAGTCAAAGGTCGCCTGGAGGACAATGAAGCCCACATTGAACACAAGATTGAAGCTCTTGTTGCCTGAAATGATTGCCGGTGTAGCTCACTTCTGTATCATGTAAGAACTACTAGTTATGGTGTAATCTTCCCAGCAATTCATCCATCTTATTATTCTGCGTCTAGAGCTTTGCTGGTGGATCCTACAATGAAACAAAATATTGAGTACTAGTCAATGAACCCCCAATATCCTTGTAGCATCATCTTGGGACATGAACTAGACATTGCAAGATATGACACTATGGCTCTCTTTGGTAGTATGCATGCATGAATTTGGTGGGATTGGGATTGTGGTTGGAGTTAGAGTTAGGATTAGGATTGAAACTTTAAAAATGCGTTTGGTATGGAGTAATAATTGCAAGAATATTTATTTTTATTTTATTTTACAATTAAATATAAATTATGAAAAGACTACAATACCTTTTATAATTAATAAAAAAAACCCTAAAACATCTCTTCCTCTCTGTCGCTGTCAAACCCAACCAGATCTGCAATTTCCCTCTTCATCTTCCACACTCACTCTCTTCTTCTTATTAAATGATGTTAGGCACGTTAGGGAAGAAAGGGGAGGACGAGAGGAAGATGATTCATTTATGGAGATCAATAGATCTGAGGAAGACAGGTCGCAAAAGACAACTCACCCTCATCTTTGCAAGCAGGAGGATTCTATCTGTGACTATGAGAAGAATGGTGATGGAGGGCTTTGTTGTGATGGAGATGAAGATGACTGGAGATGCAGGAGGGTGGAGGGAGAAATGATGGGAGAGACATGGGAGGGAAAAGTTGAGTGAGAGGACTGGCTTGACAGTGGAGGGGTGTTTCGATCAGTGAAATTTGAATTTCAAAAATAAAATTTCAATACCACCTACCCTCATGGGTCTCACCAATCTCATGTTGGTGGGCTTCGCTAGTGCTAAGTTTTAGCCAATCAATCCTACCAATCATTTTAACATGAGATTTATCAATTTCAATCCCAATCTCAATCCTTACCTTCTAATGCCGCATACCAAATAGGGTCTATATTATGTCATGTTCAGGTGCAATGTGAAATGCCCTCTTTTGTTTGTTAGATGATATTCATTTTGTTTCAAATTATAAGACACTTTTTGATAAAATTTTATATACTAATAAACCTCATTAAATATACTTAACAACTTTATCTTTTCAAAATGAAAATATAAATTTTTAAAAACACCTATCATTTAATATATTAAAAAGAGAAATGGTGAAAATTAATTATATAAAGAAAAGGGGTAATATTGAAATAAGTTTATTTAATGAAATTTTAATTTTTTTAAAGTGTCTCATATTATGAAATGTCAAATTTATCTCAAAAGTGTCTTATAATTTGGGATGGAGGAAGTATTAATTAATATTTTAATTGATTATATATATATATATATATATTACATTTTCAAAATATTTATTTATTTTTTAATAAAAAGTTGTATCATGTTTTAGTCTAATTTCAAAATTATCAAATGAAATGCTCTCAATTGAGTCAAACAAATGTTTTGGTGAAAATTTATATACTCAAGATGTTTGTATCTAATTAAATTAAGATATGTGAATTTTTTATAGATTATTCATTTTATAATAAATTCTTATTATTGATTAAACTAATATATTAAGATCCACATGTCATAATTTTATTAGATATAAGTATATTAAGTATATAAGATTAAAAACATAAGTCCAGCCAAATATTTTTTTTGCTAAATTTTTTAAAAATGTATATATGGAAATATGATTTATTCTTTTATTTTATTCATGCATATTTGAATATGATATATATTTGTATAGTTGACGTTTAAACTGATAAAAAAATTTAGTTAACACATTTAAAATGTAATTGAATAGAAATTATATTTCTTTTTGATATGAATAGAAATCATATTTTAAACATAAGAAGATTTATATAATATTAAACAACTTTTTAAAAAAGTTTGACGTGCTTCATGTTTTATTTCAAAAATTACTTTTTTATTCAATAACATTCTTTTATCATTGACAAATTAAAGTTAAACAAGTAATAATATTTACTTTTACAGGAAACTTGCAGATGAGGACACAAGGGGACATTTACTAAGGAATCCTAAACAAGACTGTTGGCCCAAAAAAAAAAAAGTAAATAAGAGGAACAATAACAATTAGATCTTAAAAAAATAAATTAATAACAATTAAGTTTTTAATAAAAAATTTTACAAAATAAATTTTAAATATTAGTTTAAATAGTTATAAATAAAAATTTCCGTTACAATTTAAAAATTATATTTAATAATTAAATGTTTATTTATAATTAAAATTTTTAAATTTATAATAATTTAGATCAATATTTTTAACTTATTTTAAAAAAATTATTAAAAATTTAATTAATATTAATTTAATATTTTGAAACGTACCTATCATTCTCCCTTGATAAAATGGATGCCCTTCAAGGAAAAAGCTTTCAAAAGGTTGTCAGTTTCTTTATCTGGATTCCTCAACCAGAGGAGGCATGTAATAATTTAGCATTAATGCATTGGAGCCAATGCATGCGCAAATTCGCCTAGATCTGTCAATGAAGATTTGAACACAGAATCAACACTTTTTTTTTTTTTTTTTATATGTGCTATGAATTAATACGGTAATATTTGAATTGATAGATTTAAATTTAAATTTAAAATTTAAATCTTGAATTTAAAATATTATATTTAAAATCTTCTGTTTGAATAATGTAAAAAATTTTAATGTTACAAAAAAAAAAAGAACTGAAATCTGAAGTAGAAATGAATGATTGAAAGTGATGAATTCACCTTTATTTTTTAATTGGCAAGACAAGAACAAAAGATAAAAAGAATTGCGTTAAGACTTGTAGAAATCGAAAAAAGAGAAGAACATGAAAGATTGAATATTACAATATCAGGATCCTTCACTTGAAGGATTTGCAACAACAGTTCATTTAAAGGGTGAAATACAAACCCCGAATTATGGGGATTAATCTCAAGGGATTACATTCAATTTTCCTAACTCAACTTACAATGTGATGTTCTTTGTATAGATTTTAGGGCCACCAACACTAAGTGATTAATTCTTAATCACCTATTAACACCCTAGTATTAAAATAAATTGCAAAAATAACAGAGATATTGAGAGTGAAACGTAAAGAAAACAAGAATGTTAGAGTAATTGAAATTTCAAATGAAATTATAATAAAAACATGGATTTAAAATCCAAAGACTTCTATGCATTTGATTTAAATTCAAATCAAATCTTCAAGCATCCAAAACCACATTAACAAAAGCAATCACTAAAAACTGATTTAGCTAACGTGACAGGTAACCAGTTTTGATTAATTCAATTAGAATTCGTCAGTAATTCGGACCGCACACTACGTTTGGGCAAGACATAATGTCCATCCAGGGACATCCGATAAAATAAACCCAAGATAAAAATGCCTGGGACGAATAAGATGCTTGTACCAAAAGAGCATTGTGAGCCATTATTTTAAATGTCATAACTTAGAACCTTATTCTGCTAGAACTAGTTAATGAGCTTGGTTTCTAACTTTCTATTTTCAAATGATGCGTAGAATCTCTTCCCTCAACTGAATCAAGAGAAACGTCAGCATGTTTATTTTCTCTAACATCCAAACATAATGCAAGACCAGTGCATGATAATCATCAGTTGCATATCTATAAAGCAGAATAATCCTTCATAAAAGTTTATGATGGTATCGGTTATTAAAAAAAAAAAAATTTATGTTCGTCTTAAAAATTTAAACTTCTCCCCTTGGACCTCTTCTTTATATAGTCTCTCTCAAATCTTAAACCAAACATATAATTAATTTTCGCGTCATAAATTTACTTTTCGTTCATACAAATAACATGAAATTTGTAAACAAAATTGAAGTTTTCATATCATACCTGCGCATTAACGGCGACAGTTACCACTGAGAAATTGAGAAGGCTAACGGTAAACGAGACGTGGGCCAGCGAATTAACTTCTCGTATCATCCTCCTGTAACCTATTATGATGATACACACAGAAGAACCCTTCTCAATTTTCTGAATTGATTGTTACCAGGAATGGGTTTTACTTGAAGGATTTTGAGCAGAGCCAATATTTATTTTCCGTTGAAATAGGTCTAAAAGAAAATCCCAGTCTCACATAGAAAGATTTTACTCTGTTTCCCTGTTTCAGGCTTCTTGCTATTCACATTGCGTTTCAGGTAATGACTAGTGCTGCTATTTTTTATTTCTAATCTGTTTTCCATGAAACTTCACGAAATGAAAGAAAGCTATTGTTTGCGAGGTTTCATCTGTGTCTGTGAACTTTGAAGCTTGGTGATGATTGGCATGTGATAATCTCCAGATACTTTCATACATTGTAACCATTTCAAAATTTCCATGTGCTCTGCCTTTTTCCTTTGGCTGAATAATGCTGAAAACTATGATACAAAAAATCAGAACGTTAAATAGAAAGGTAAATAAAAGAAAAGATAATAAACTTAGTTACGTGATTTTTTCAAAGCATCTGTAATTATCAAACATAGTTTATTCATGTTATTTCTGCCGGACTGATATGCTTACTTTTTTGCTGATTTTAGTGAAATTCTGATCTCTCCTTATTTACTGTTTGAGAGAATGAAGAGAATGTATGTATTTGATTTATGACAATGGCTTGTTTCATCTGTGATATGTTAGATGTATGCTTCAACATGTGGTGTTTTTAATGTTGAAATATTTATGTATAAGATGAATCTTCCTTTTATTCATGGATGCTTCAGCCCATTATTGCAGAATAAACAATGGCTAATCAAAATCAAAAGAAGCCACATGAAGATTACTCTCTTAAGGAGACAACTCCAAACATTGCTGCTGGAAGAATCATAAGTGGAGACAGGCTTCCCACTGCCTTTGACCTCGTAGAGAAAATGCATTTTCTCTTTGTGAGGGTCGTGAAAGCTAGAAACTTGCAAAGTACCACTAAATGTAACACTTGCAATCCCTATGTTGAAGTGAAGCTTGGAAGTTTCATAGGAACAACTCTGTTTTTCCACAAAGCTTCAAGTCCAGAATGGAACCAAGTCTTTGCTTTTGCAAAAGATCGAATTCAGGAACCGGTTTTAGAAATTTTGGTGAATGACAAGGTAAATGGTACCAATAAAATCAGGGCCGAGTTTTATTCAGTGTATCTGATATTCCCATGAGAGTTCCACCAGATAGTCCATTGGCCCCACAATGGTATAGACTTGAAGATAAAAAAGGGATTAAGCTTAAAGAAGAGTTGATGTTATCTATTTGGATGGGAACTCAAGCAGATGAAGCTTTCCCAGATGCTTATCACTCAGATGTAGCAATATGCAATATCAGTGACAATATTGCTTACACGCGATCAAAAGTGTATATCTCTCCCAGGCTATGGTATTTAAGAGTGAATGTGATTCAAGCTCAGGATTTGCCAGTCAACAAAAAGAATGATAGCTTAGAAATCTTCATTCAAGCTGCTCTTGGGAATGTTGCTCTCAGAAGCCGTCCCTTGAAGATTAGCTCAAACCCCGTTTGGAATGAGGATCTGATGTTTGTTGCAGCAGAACCTTTTGAAGAATCTTTGGTTCTGAGCTTGGAGCAAGGGAATTCAAGTTCAAGTAAGCATGAAAAAATGGGAATTTGTGTGGTTCCATTGAAGAATGTAGAGCAAAGAATAGATGCTGCACCACCTTCTAGCAAATGGTACAACCTTGAACAGACCAAGAAGGTTCAAGAGGGATGTGAGAAAACTAACAAGGTCAATGAAGTTGAAGAAGAACAAAAAGAGCAAGTTAAGTTTTCAACTAAGCTTAACATGAGGATCTCCTTGGATGGTGGATACCATGTTCTTGATGAGGCCACGCAATACAGTAGTGATCTCAGGCCAACATCTAAAAAACTGAGCAAACCAGGAATTGGAGTTTTGGAATTGGGTATTCTGAATGCTATTGGGCTATCACCAATGAAAAAGGACAATAGAACTGATGCTTATTGTGTTGCCAAGTATGGCCCTAAATGGGTTAGAACAAGAACTATAGTTGATAGTCTCTCTCCCAAGTGGAATGAGCAATATACTTGGGAAGTTTATGATCCTTGCACAGTCATAACAATAGCAGTATTTGATAATGGCCATCTACAAACAGAAAAAAATGCTGAGGCAACAATAGATAAGAGAATTGGAAAGGTAAGAATTAGACTCTCAACACTCGAGACAGACAGAGTATACACTCACTTTTACCCACTCATAAACTTACAGCCTCAAGGAGCCATAAAAATGGGAGAAATCCAGTTGGCTGTGAGATTCTCTTGCCCATCTTTGCTCAATGTCTTGCAAACATATACACAACCTTTGCTTCCTAAAATGCATTACATTAGCCCATTATCAATATTTCAGCTAGATAGTTTAAGAAATCAAGCAGCTATTATTACCTCATTGAGACTAAGCAGGGCTGAACCACCCTTGAAGAGAGAGGTTGTGGAGTACACGCTTGATGTGAGAGCAAATGTTTGGAGCATGAGAAAAGGAAGAGCTCAAATTCAGAGAATCTTTAGCCTTCTGAGTGGTATAGTTTATGTCTGCAAGCAATTACATGAGTCCGTAACTGGAAAAGCTCAGTAAAAACAATCACTACTTATTCATCTTCCTCTTGGTGATCTTCTTCCCAGAAACAATCCTTCCCATGGTGTTTTCCTTCCTCGTCGGAATCGGAATCTGGAGGTATCCATCGCGGCCGAGACTTCCGACCCATATGGATCTTAAGCTGTCTCATGCTGACACAGCGACGGTTGAAGAACTGGAAGAAGAGTTTGATCCATTCCCATCAAGATTCAATGGTGAGAACTTGAGGAAAAGGTATGATCGGTTGAGAGGGATTGCAGGGAGGTTGATTGCTGTGATGGGTGATTTGGCAACTCAAGGAGAGAGGATTCAATCACTGTTGAGTTGGAGAGATCCGAGAGCGACGGCTCTGTTTGTGATTTTCTGTTTGGCTGGTGGGATTCTAAGTTGGTTCTTTTCTTTTAAGGTTGTCATCTTTGTTCTGGTGACTTACTTGTTGAGACCTCAAAGGTTTCGATTTGACATACCAGCTGTGCCACAGAATTTCCTCAGGAGGATGCCTGCAAAATCAGATGGCTTGCTTTAATATTTGTTTTGATTGATTCTTATGTTCTTTAGAAAACCCATTTTGACGTCGTCTTCTTCTTCTTCGTCATGGTGGGTTGAATTGAAGAAGATGAATAATGAAAAGCAATCGGCGTTGACTGTTACAGCAATGCTGAACTTCTGTTTCTTCAAGAGCATCAAGAAGCTTTTCTTTACTTGCACTGGGTTGTTTCACCCACACACACACACATACACACACACACTATACACACACACATTCTCGGACCACGTTTTGAGGGACAAACAATAAGGACAGAGCTGCCCATGGTAGTTTTTGATGTTTTATGAACAAAAAAATACAACTTATTTCTCTCCATAAATGATGGTGTGTGATATGAATGCCTGACAGATTGTGTTATTTTTTGGCATATCATTTTTATGTTGACAAGGCCATGATGAAAATCATGTAATTACAAATAAATTAGGAGATACCTAATGTCAAAAATTCTTACATCCTAATATTGAATTATTAAGAATTCTAATATTAAAATTATTTTTATTGGCTTGATGAGCCAGCTGATTAGTGCAACAATTTACTTTTTTAAAAACATGATCAATGAAAATCTATTAATTTTAAATAAGAAGCTTGTTGATGTTTTAATAAGATTGATAAAAGATGGCATATCATTTGTTGCCTGTAAATTACACTTGTGCTTTATTCTAAAATATTATTCTAAAATTGACTAAATTTCCCTTTGCGGAAGCACATCAATTAGCACATTTTTTAGAATAAAAATAATTGTCAATTGTCATGTCTTCAATTAAAAATAATTTTATTTTTTTAAATGTCAAATATACCGTTTTAGAGAAGAAAGAAAAAAATTTCCTTTTTATTTTTCAATTTCATTCTTCGGGCAGGCACAAAAATTAAGGGAAAAAAATCCGAACATGAAATATGTTATAACTTATCCACAAATAAACATTTCATTATATGAGGCTAGAAATCAGTCAAGAAATCAATTATTAGGGGTTAGCATTAGCATTAGCATCAGTATTAGTATTAACAAAATCTCTCTAAACTATAAAATTGATTCGCATGGCATCTACAGACACTCACAAGAGTCAGAATAGATGGGCTGGGCTCAGACTGACAAACAGCTGATAAGCATTATCGGACTCGGGAAATGTGCGTCCAGTATAAATTCATATGGGTATGTTTCAGGAAGCCCAACCCGGACTATTCCGTTCGCACGAAACCCTAGCGATGTATGGGCGATATATATGGTAAACACAACCACTAAAACTTCTCTCATTTTCGCAGTATTGAAGGTTACTGCAGAACCAACCAGCGGAAGGAGGTAGCGGCTGAAGCGGCAGCAATGGCTCCCAAGCAGAGAACACCAAAGGTGAGCAGAAATCCTGAATTGATTAGAGGGATTGGAAAGTACTCGAGGTCGAAGATGTACCACAAAAGAGGTCTCTGGGCTATCAAGGCCAAAAATGGCGGCGTTTTCCCCCGTCACGATCCCAAGCCAAAGCTTGAAGCTCCGGCGGAGAAGCCACCCAAGTTTTACCCTGCCGACGATGTCAAGAAGCCTTTGGTCAACAAGCACAAGCCGAAGCCTACTAAGCTCAGGTGCTTTTCTTTTATCTGTTTGTTAAGATGTTTGGTTTGACTGTGTTTGATTGTGGAAGTGGTCAACGATATTTTGATTTGATTTTCTTTCTAGTGCTGTATTCTTTTTTTCAAAAAAAAAAAAAGTTTGAATGTGGGAAATTGTATATGACAAGTGGGGGTTTTTGAATGTTGGTTTTCTACTGGGACGTCTTTTAAGGTGTTGATTGGGATTAGGTGTCAGTTCCGTATGATAAATAACGAGACGAACTCTAAATTTGTTGCCTCTTCCCTTCTTTGATCCCCTTGTTTTTGTTGCCGTGAGTTTATTATGGGTTTATTTACGTCATTTTGTTGAGTGGCTGTCTATGGGTGTTTGTTGATTATTATTAATTCTGTCGAGGTTAGAAAATGTTGATGGCTGGTGGGTTATTTGGAATGTGGGAGCTCTCTTAGTGAGGGATATTGAGAAAGGCTGGATTTGGGCGAGGCATGTTAATAAATATAAATAAGAGGAGTCCTCTTGTGTTTAATGTACTTCAATCTCATAATTAACAATTACATGTTTATGATTTGTATGGGTTTTTCCGGCATATAGATTTATTGTTGATATTTATCTGCTTGTGTCTTCGCTCTGCAGGGCTAGCATTACTCCCGGTACTGTGCTGATTCTTCTTGCTGGGAGATTCAAGGGAAAGAGAGTCGTTTTTCTGAAGCAGCTTCCCTCTGGGCTGCTCCTTGTCACTGGTATATGATCTGATACCTTCTGTGGAATGAGTTGTTGAGTGATGAGCATTTTTAATTGGCGTTGCTTCATTTGCTATATGATCATTGAGTACACTTGGTTTTATATACTCACATTATTGTTGTGCAATTTCGTTTGTTTTTAGAATTGCTTTCTCTTACTGTCATTTTGTTTTAGTTGTACTGTTAATCACCCTCATAGTCACTCCCTTTTCTATTACTGGCCATTGGCCGTTTTTGTACAAGTGATGATGGTTATGTTTATCATGGTTGTGCTTGTAATTAGTTCAATCTAGCTCCTCTTAATTCTGTCAATGGTAATTTCTTCATGCCAGCCTTTACTCTTTTGCACTCTCTGGGCTTGGACTCTTATACTTTTGTGGTACATCCTGTTGACTAGATATGGTCTCTCTGTTTTTTTTTAATACTTTGCTCTTGCCACTTCAGGTCCATTTAAAATTAATGGAGTTCCTTTGAGACGTGTTTGCCAGTCTTATGTCATTGGCACCTCCACGAAGGTTGACATTTCGGGAGTTAATGTTGAGAAATTTGATGACAAATACTTTGCCAAGAAAGCCGAGAAGAAGAAGAAAAAGGGAGAAGGGGAGTTCTTTGAGGCAGAAAAGGAGGTTGGCTTTTCAAATTACTGTGCTTTGTTGTTTTTCTTTGTCATCTCCAATTGTTTTGGTCTTCTGATCGCGGTTCCCTTGTTCCACTTTATTTTTGTTTTATTCTTTCCAAATGCAGGAGAAAAATGTGATCCCCCAGGAGAAAAAGGATGACCAGAAAATTGTGGATTCTGCTTTGTTACAAGCTATTGAGAGCGTTCCAGACTTGAAGGCTTATTTGGGCGCAAGGTTTTCTCTCAAGGCTGGCATGAAGCCTCATGAACTAGTCTTCTAAGAGAATACAAGAGTGTTAACTTTTGTTTCTTCTATTTGATCTTGACGTTTGTCCCAGTAGTTGTGCTCTGTCTTTATTGGTTATAGACTTCGAAAGGATGTGATTGTCATTTTAGATAATGCGCTGTGCAAGAATTTTCCCTCCCTTCAATTTTGCTTTTGTTAGCTCTTGATTAAATCTACAAATTTGTTATATATTTGAGTCTTTCTGTGTTTGTCAAATGGGTGTTTCTTTCTGTGGCCGAGCATCTTTAATTAATCGTTACATTAATTGGTTATTTTTTGGCGTTTGTAATCATTTTAAGTGGTAACACGAATGTGTGTGTAATAAGCATACAGATCCGTCAAAATCTGAAAACTCATTGAAGGTTTCTCACGTGACAAATCAAATTAGTAATTATTATAGAGAAATACGTTCATCAAAGTCTTCGATCTCCGTCATAAAATCCATGCAATTCGTTCTGCAATGATGTACTTTGGAGAAAATTAGTACATATATTGATTTCACTCACATTGAAGAAGGAAGTCAACACGTTATGTCTTAATTACATGCAGAAAAACAAATATTACAGCAAACTATCTGTTTTAGAAGGCAGCCGCTTAAAGAAATTACTTGGAACAGATGGTAGCTTACTCCGAAACCTTGGGTGGCGCAAGCAATATAAACCGGTGGCCATAGCCACCAATCTGAACGGTGTTGCATAGAGAACCACAGCCGTAGAAAAGCTGAACAAGACGAAGATAGTGGTTGCTCTGGGGTCTCTCCAGCTCAACAGAGACTGAATCCTCTCACCTTGTGCAGCCAAGTCCCCAACCACAGTCTGAATCCTCCCTGCAATACTTCTAAGCCTGTCATACCTCATTCTTACTACATCATTGGATCTTGAAGTTGGGAATGTATCAAACTCCTCATCAAGTTCATCTGGTTGTACTGTTTCTGCATAAGATAGCTGAGGATCCATATGAGGAGGGTGTCTGGGACGGAACCTGTAGTTCCATACTCCAATGAAGAATGTATATAGAAACATAGTTGGAAGTATCAGCTCTGGGTGGAAGATTAGTATCAGAAACAGAATGTGAACTAGAATGGATGTGACGGGGTTCTTCCATTGGCAAACATCATTCAACCATCTTTGTATTGCAGTCAAATTAGAGGAGAGAGACAAAATTCGGAAAAAGTTTGCTTTGCTTCTTCTCATGCTCCACAAATGAGAATCCACATCTAACATGTACTCCACCACTTCCTTTCTCAAAGGGGGTTCAGCTCGGCCAAGCCTAATGGCTACCATATTCATGGCTTGGTGTCTTAAATTCTCTAACTGGTTCACTGTAAATGGGTGTAAATAATGCATCTTGGGTAGCAAGGGTTGGGCATAAACTTGAACCATATTGACAAGTGAGAAGGTAGTGAACCTGATTGCTAGTTTAAGCTCACCCATCTTCTTCACCCCATGTGGATGCAAAACAAAAAGTGGATAAGAATGGATATAGGTCCTGCTACCTTCTAGTGTAGAAAGCCGAACCCTTACCTTCCCTATTTGTGAATCAGGGGTTGAATTTCCATCTTTCAGGTGGCAATTGTCAAAAACTCCCAATGTTATTACAGTGCAAGGATCATAAACCTCCCATGTGTATTGCTCATTCCATTTAGGATTGAAAGTATTGAGAATTGTTCTGGTTCTGACCCATTTCTGGCCGTACTTAGCAACACAATAAGCATCAGTGCTGCCATGCCCATCCTTCATCTTCATTGGAAGAAGGCCATGTCCTCCTAATATTCCCACTTCAAGTATCCCAACGGGAGGCTTCCATAGTTGTCTTGATGTTGGTCTTTGATCACTTGTGTACAGAGCTGATTCATCCAGCACATGATATCCACCATCAAGACAAACTCTCATGTGAATTCTGCTTGCAAACTTGAGGTTGTTCCTCCTATCACCTTCCATTAGTCCAAAGCCATGTTTCTCAAGAGGGAACCAGCGAGAATGAACTGGCCTGTGGTCTAGCCGTTTGTCAAAATGCATCAATGGCAAGTTTATCTTCCCTAGAACCTCATCTTTAGTGGGGTGAACATGATCCTCCACAGTAATCACCAGGTGCTCCTCAAAAGGTTCTGCTACAACAAAAATCAAATCTTCATTCCAAAATGGAGTTGTTGTGGGATGTGCGCATATCTTGGTCCTTAGTACTTGGTTACCAACCTGGGCTTTCACGAAAGCATCTGGCAGGCGATTTCTGTCGCTAGGAATCACGTCATGAGCTTCAATGATGTTGACCCTGAGATACCATAGTTTTGGTGAGACATAAACCTTGGACCTGACATTGAAAATACCTTCTCCATAAACTGTGGCTGCATCAGAATGCCAAGCATCTGAAAAAACTTCATCAGATTGAGTTCCCATCCACACTGCAAGCATGACGTCACCCTTGACTTCACCTTCTCCTCTCCAATCCTCAAGTCTGTACCATTGAGGAGCCAATGGGCTATCAGGTGGAACTCTAGTTGGCACCTCGTTCAGGTCGAAAACCACCCTCCCAAGATAGTCATCCTTCCCCACCATTTCCTTATCCTTCACGAAAACTTCCAGCACAGAGGTCTGAATCCGATCTTTCGAGAAAGCAAAAACTTGGTTCCATTCCGGGTTCAATTTTTTCTCAATGTGTTTTGTTCTTCCTCTGTAATTTCCCAGCTTCACTTCCACGAGAGGATCACGGCTTCCTGTCATGAAGCTAGGAGTAAGATCCTTGGCTTTCATGACCCGAACATACAAATAAAACATCTGCTCAACTAGATCACACGTGCTTTTGAACTTTTCCCACGTGCACCACCACGCTTCCACTCTCTTACAATTCCACCATTTGACCACCTCTCTCCAAGCCGTGTGCTGGTGTCCTTCACTTTGTAATCCTCATCGTTTTGGCGAGAATGGACTTGAGAACTCGCTGGGTGAATATTTGTCAATGAAGTAACTCTTGGTCGTTGCTTTATGGAAATCACTTGCTGCTGCATAACTTGATGTTTGTGTAACTGTTGAGCTGCCTCTTGTATAGGTTCTCTGCTCTCCTCCTTTGGCACTTCGACCATATCTGCAATCCCACCAAACTTAGCCTCTGCTTCAACTGAAGAATTTCCAGCAGCATCACCGTTTACTTCCTCAGTGGTAACTTTTGGAGCATCAACTTCAGGACCTTCAGCTATTTCTTTCTCAGCGGAGTCTTCATTTTCTAGAAGATTAGCAGTAGATGTAGCTGCAGTGGAATCCTGTACTTGTCGTAGAGAGGATGAGATTTCTTCCAGCTGGGCAGTACATGATGGAGAAACAGCTTTATTGGGTTTGGATTCTGATGCAAAGTACAGTTTCAAGCCAATCTCACCCTTCACAGGTGAGAAAATCCATTTTTTTTCCAGTGGGAAAACTTGATAGACTTCTTCCCCTTCCTTCACAATATTGGAGCAAGGAATTCTCACCCTCCCAAGAAAGTTCCGCCCACTGATAGGCCTTCTCTCGTTGTAGACTGAGACGTCAATGCTCTGGCGATCGTAAGGTTTGGTTGCATCTAAATGAAAGATCAGTTTGTGATTCCAAGTGGGGTTGAGATTCTTTGGAACAGCTCTGGTTCTGCTCAACTGGTTTTCAAACTCAACCTCCACAAATGGACTCGCTGATCCTTCTCCATCTTTAGGCATGAGATCATGAGCATCAATGACCTCCACCACCAGCTTCATTTCCTTGTCTTGTCCCCTCACTGTCACAAGAAGCTAAATCTAAATTAACCATTCACAAGTGAACCGAAAAATAGCATTGGAAGAACAAAGGTTGTTTAGCTTAAGAAGACAAAAACATGACAGAAAGAACAGTTAAAGATTTCAGTTTTCACTAGTGACTGATACAGCCACTTTGGTTAAGCAAAGAATAATTTGATGGAGAAGCTGCTTGAGGAAAGCTTCGCAATGATCTAACGTAAAGCTGACCCATTCTTTTGGTTTAAAATAGGATATGAACAAACGAGCCATCCTTGCTCTCTATTGACAACGTGGAAGCTGCCTCAAGACCTCAATGACAGTAGCTGAATCAAAGGGGCAAAAAAAAAGTCATGGGTTTTTGCATATTTGTGCTTGGGGATCAGTTCTTTCTTCTATGTTGAGCAATGCAAAAGTGAAGAAAAAGTGAGAGAGCAGAGCTTGAAAGATACAGTGGAAGCGGCAAGAAAGAAATCGAAGGCAGCTTCAGTTTTTCTGGACTTGGCCAACGATGCCTTCCTTGTGCTTTATTCTTCTTTTGACGCTTGGTGTGTGGATTTTTTAGTCTTTCAAACCTTGTTTATAAAAATATTTGAGCTTCACATACGCAAACGCACACGCACAGAGAGTGTGTATATATATAATCCCTCTCATTTCTTGAATGCTGTACATATTTTTTAAATATTTGTAATTGTAATTGTAATGTAATTTCTAAATACCGAAAATTTTGGTCCCGCGTGAGTTTTGTAAACTCTTATACTTAATGTTTCTTTTATGCACTTTGTAAGGTTTAAGATGGATCACATTATTATTCATAATTTTAATTGTGTGTAACTTAATGTAAAGTTTATATTTTATATAGATATTGATGTTGATATTTAGATAGATAAATTTAATATGAGAATCGATGAAGTTTAGAAAAGGAAAATCAAATAAAAGCGCAGAGAAGAGAAGAGCAAGAGGTAAAGTTAAGAACAAATTACATGTGAGTTTATGTGAAATAAGAATAGAATTCTTAATGAAATACAAAACAATATATATAACCAAAAAAACAATTTTTTGGTTAAAGTATGTTGGAAGAGTTTAAACTATTGACTTCTACAGGTTCCCCCTTCTAAAATGCACATTTAATCATTTTATTTTACACAATTTATTTGTTTAGTTTTTTAATTTTATAAAGTATTTTATCAATTTTTTAATTTAATACTAGTGGTTTCTTTAATAATTTTTTTTTACATTAAACCTTTAAATATTAACAAAATATTTTTAAATATTGAATATTAAATTTAGTTTTTTAAAATAATGACAAAAAATAATAATCTGAAACTATTTGTATTAAGATTAGAAGATTAAAAAATATTTTATATAATTAATACACTTTAATCTCTATTATCTTCGCCAACAAATCATGGGATATCATAATGTTGTTTACTTTTTGTTTTTTTTTTGCAAGAATAATATCGTTATATTTAGAGTAAAATACACAAACTTTCTTTTTATTTTGTTTAAATTACAAACACCTCATTTTTTTTAAAACATATATTTTAATTCAATTTTTAACACTGTTAAAAACGTTCCATTAAAATTTTAAAATACTTAATTTTTTATTTAAAATTATGTAGCAAAAATTAAAAATTATTGATTTTTCCTTATAATCTAATTATCTATTTCTCCAACTTTAAATAATTAAGTATAACAATATTTAAATAAAAATTTTAAAATATATTATTAAAAATATAAAATTTACAGAAAAATATATATTAACTAATTTATCTCATATTATATTAGATTCTTATTTTATTGAATTTTTTACGTGTTAGTTTGAAATATTATTTTAGCTACTTATTTTTTTAAATTTTCTCAAAATACTAAATAAATAATTTTTCATAACTAAAACAATTAAAAAGGTAAAAATATATCTATTACTTTGTTGGCTAACTTAAATAAGTTTTTAAATAATATTTACATTTAAAGAGACGTATTTTAATTAAACATATATTATTTAACAGTTAACTGACAAGAAGGAGGTTTGTGTTTAATAATTATTAATGTTAGGAAAAGTTTGTATAGATTTAAAAATAAAAAATATATTTATAAAATAAAATATAGGGGAGGTGTTATATTTTATTGTCATACTTATGATTTAAAATTTTGGTGTAAAATGTTTCGTGCTCATGTCACGTGTGATAAAAAAATGTTTTGTACTCATGCCGAACCGGACCGGCTTTTTTTCTTACCCGAATACCGGTTTGAGAAAGCACAAGACGTCACATACAAGAATGCTAGTAATTGCTAACCACACATAACTATTTCTGTACTTGGCGCCGATCAAGTTGTCTCCCACAAGATTGGGCCATCGTCAGTACTCTCTCTCTCTCTCATACGAATAAAGGATTCAGCCTTTCTTTCTCTCTCTTTCGCTGTCCCCTTGCCTCAGTCCCTACTAGAACCTTCCACTTCTTCCGATTAGGGTTTTTCCGGGGTTTAGCGCTCTCAATTACCACCACTCGTATCCATCGTCTTTCCTAAACACCACCTTTGATCCTTAACACGTACATTAGAATCCTTAAGCTCCAATATGGTTCGCTCCAATGGCATCAGGCTGATTCGATGGGCTGCTCGTCGATCTCTCGCCTCAAACTACCCCCGGGACACAGCGCATGACGTACGCGGCCTCCTTTCGCGCCCCCCCTTTTTTATTGTTATATGGTTTGTTACAGTCATTTTTGCTGATTGTGATCTGGTAATGTGGGAATTTTTCTTTTGGTGGCGAATTGTAGGTGCACGAGGCTGTGTCCCAAAGAGGTTATAAGACATTGAATTCGGGGGTTTGCAAGCCATCTAGAATCATTGGAAGTTACACTTCAAATGGTATTTGTTAAAATAACATCTTTTGCAAACTCTTTGTATAGTTGCCTGAATGACTAAGGGAAGCGTTGATTTTTTCCCCCATATTTCTGTTTTTGAATTGGGGTTCTTGTAATTTAATTATGGACATAGTTCTTAGACAAATTAGAATTTGTTGGACGGTCCGATGCTTTTCTTCTTGGCTGTTGGACAAAGGTCCATTTCTTCTTCACCTGGGCCACTGGTCTGGTTACACAAGTTTCCTTTGGGATATTGATTCGCATCATTACTTAGTGCTAACCTTATTGCGACTTACATATTTGCAGTTGGAGATATTGTTCATATGAAGAACCGGTTACTGTTGGGAGCAATGAATTCGTATTGGGGCACAGCTAGATTCATTCATGGCACAGGTATAAATCATCCGTTTGAATCTGTGCACACTTCGTTTCTGTTCTTCCTGGAACCATACTGATACGTAATAATAATTTCCATGAGTTCGTGAGGGTTGGTAGGAATTTGGGATAATTAGCCGTTAGTATTTTTAATGACCCTTGGCTCTATATGGGTGGCTTTGGTTTGTTGTGATTGGGCTTGAACACTTGGATAATAAATTTAGTTTCTTTCCTCTCTCCTCTCTCTCTCTCTCTCGTTCTCTGTTGTCTATTACTCTATTCTCTCTCGTCTCTTTTCCTCTCTCTCTTTCCTAACTTTCTGTGAAGAGCATTTGAAAGAAAAAGACTCTGCTCTTCATGTTTTGCGTTTGGTTTACCAGTTTATGGTTTTAGTAAGGACTGGGTATAATATTGTTATCCTCCGCTTAGCTGATCCCTTTCTCATTATGTCTTCTGACCAAGTAGGATGAGATTTTATTAATTCCCTGTTCAACCTTTCATTCAATTTTGTCCCTATTTTATTACTGACCTTTTCTATGCATAAATGTTTATTGGCCCTGGCACATTAATGACTTTTTCTGCCCCAAAACTCCTTCACAGCTTCATTGGCAAGAGATTATTATGATGTTCTTGGTGTGAGTAAGAATGCAAGCGCGTCTGAAATAAAGAAAGCATACTATGGGGTAAGTTTTTCCCAACTGTTTCCTGGCTAACCTTGCAATGTCTTGTACATTTCGTGGACATAGGGTATCACCTTCTCATCCTCCCATCTCTGCATCCACACAGTGCTAGTGGACTTTTGAGAAGTTTTCTTTTCTTTTTTCTTCTTTTTTACACATGAAACGTCTCTATTCCCCAAATAGCCAACTTATAAGTATTAGCTTGAGTGACATGAGGAACAGTTTATTCTTTATCTTGTTAATCTTACTCATGGTTTAATTTGAAGTCCTTTATTCCTCAAACAGTTTATGCCTGCTACATATGGGTAAATCTATGCCAGAATACATCTTCTCAGAATGTATCTATGTGTACACTATATGTGTGTATTTTGCTTCACTATTATTAGATATATTATGCCCCTGCCCTTCTTTCTTATTTGACATGAATTCTTCAGGCAATGGTGGCTATGATATGAATAACTGCCTGAAGTTTTTCTTCGTTTCACTTTTCCTACTGCCTCAATTATTGTCTATATTTTACAGCTTGCAAAGAAGCTCCATCCAGACACAAACAAAGATGATCCAGAAGCGGAAAAGAAATTTCAAGAAGTTTCAATGGCATATGAGGTATTATTATATTCATTGTTCTTGTTATTACCCTGAAATCTAGTAGTTTATATCATCTCTTACGTATTATTTGATTTTTTTTTCCTTTGGTCAACTCTGCTGTAGGTTTTGAAGGACGAGGAAAAGCGGCAACAATATGATCAGGTCTTACACCTTCAGATATTTCTTGCCTCCCTTATCTATCATTTTATTGCTGTTGCTATATGCTATTCTGTCACAACATGAATGTAGAATTGGTATTTGAAAAGTTATCATATGGAAGAATGATAGTAAGTCACAGTTTTATTAAGGTGAATGACTGGAAATGGAAGGATTAAGTGTAACCCTCTTGAATTGTGATAGACTTATGTTCTATAGAAATGCTATTTATAGAAAGAGTTGGAGGAATTGAAAGGCCCGAGAGAATGTGGAACATTTTCTTGCATGACAATAAAATGAGTGTCTTTAATCACCTATGTTTGTTAATGAAGTTAAAATGATGTTATTACTAAGAAGGCGAAATGTGATCAGTTTCATATATTGCATTTTGCTAATGGCATGCTAAAATAGAAGACATTTTTTTTTGGGGGCATATGGTTACTAAAAAATATTTTATATTTCTGGTTGCTGTGAAACATCACTGCCCAGAAAATTTTCCTTGTATGCTTTTTGTTGTTGCACCCAGAATTATTTGACATTTTTACCTTTTCCCTTTCTTTTTAGATGAATGAAGAAAACGTATAGAGGGGAGATTGGAAGTTAGATAATATAATAGACATGTTAATTTTTTAAAACACCTTTTCTTAATGTGAGAGTAAGCTTGTAGATCATTGATGTGTGTGTTGCGCTTGTGTGTATAACTCATTTCATGTTCATGTTTCTTGGCTGTTGATGTGGATTGCTTTGTTAATTTGTTGAGTGAATCAACTCTGTAGGTTGGCCATGATGCCTATGTAAATCAACAAAGCAATGGTTTTGGAGGTGATGCTGGCTTTAATCCGTTTGAGCAGATATTCCGTGACCATGTAATGACTTGCCTCATTCCATCTCTAATCTTGTCTGTCTGTAGCTTTTATTCTTTTTATTTTGTAGGTCAATCTGTGTTGTTTTAGAAAATCTAAAAGAAGTATGTACAATGAAACTATTATGTGGTAATTCTTAATTTATTTTTGAATCTTCTCCATGTGCTTTCCAAATACCAAAGTAGGAGACCTTGAATAATTATACAACACCAGGATTACTAGTTCAGACCTGAAGCTAAATGAACTTAATGATGCATGTCCACGTTTGATTTTACTCATACTTAATTACACGGTTTATGGCTTTATGACTGTATCTGGGATTTAATATTTGGCAGCATTACAGTTTGGATCAGCTAATTGCTTGTTCATCTGTCCTCGCTTGTGCTGTTGTAGTTTTTTGAGGCCATGTTCTCTGTAATTTAAGTTTCTCTGAATTTGCTTGATATGTAAATCCCACGTATGAAGTCTGATATGGTTGTCTTTCATGATCTGTCATGGCCCTCAATGGTGAGCAGGATTTTGTCAAGAACTTCTTTCATCAAAATGTTGGAGGAGAGGATGTCAAGGTTCTGTCTTTCTTCCCATTTGGACATCTTTAGGTGTGCTAACAAGTATTTTTATAAAGAATCTCATTATATTATATTTCGTACAGACCTTTGTTGAACTATCATTTATGGAAGCTGTTCAAGGATGCTCCAAAACTGTGTCATTTCAAACTGATGTGCTTTGTAATGCTTGTGGTATGCCCCATCATGTAACTATTGTTTATACATTTCTGGTCCACTTATCCTATTATTTGTCAACTTTTACTTTGATGTCCAGTTTAGTTAGTAAAGGCAATGCACTTAGAAGTGAACTTTTCAGCACCATCGTTTGTTCTGCTGAGCTATTGCAGGTGGTAGTGGCGTTCCTCCTGGAACAAGACCTGAAACTTGCAAACGCTGTAAAGGGTCTGGTGTGGTGAGTAATTTAGTGAGGTGAAAGCTAATTTTTTGTAAACATGTGACACGTTTTAGTTTTAGTTTTCAAATTGATATTCTTTGATATATTTCAGAATTTTGTACAAGCTGGCATATTCAGGATGGAGAGTACCTGCACCACATGCAAGGGAACTGGGAAAATTGTATCGGTATGGTGCAAAGTATCTTTTACTTTTTTGTGGATATAATTTATGATTTAATTGTCGTTTATGATTATAAAATGTTCTCCTCTATCCAGAATTTGGTACGTTTGATGTTTTTGTGAATGTGTATATTTGAAAACAATCAATCCTCTCATTGTTAAAAGGTTGAGTGCAGAACACAGGATTCATTTGATTCTACTCAATTTGTGGATAAATACATATTTATTTATTGACTCTGGCTGGTTGTTTCTGCTGCTTTCCCTGTAGATTTTTATAAAATCATATGATGAACAACTGAAACTGCTTTATAGCTATCCTTTCTTTTTGGTAACATGTACAAGTAACCTCTTTATAATTTTTATAATTTTCTTTTTCTTGTTACCAGAGCTTCTGCAAGTCTTGCAGAGGTGCAAAGGTTATCAAAGGAACAAAATCGGTCAAGTTGGATTTCGTGCCTGGTAACCATTTTTGATATTTTTGGATGAATTATGTTATGTAGGCCTCATCGAGACTGCATATACTAAAGAAATGCATTTTAATGAGCAATTTCCTCATGGGTTTTCTTGTTGTGTTGATCCACTATTTTACTATATATTATATACTAACGGTTACAACAAAACGAGAAGAAGAAAGAATTCAAGAACGTCTTGATTGGAGTGAAACCCAACTTTTGAATATTTTAGCCTGCTAAAATTGATAACTTTGGAGCTATCTTTGGTCAACAATTTATGCTCAACCAATTCAGATGGCTAAATGGCAAGAATCATAAATATTTGCTTTAGTAATGGACGTCTATAGCCATTTTTTCTCCTTTCATCTATGAAAAATGTTAATTGGTTTATTCTTCCCCCCCCCCCATATTTACAGGGATTGACAACAATGAGACTATAAAAGTTTATAGAAGTGGTGGAGCAGACCCTGACGGAGATCACCCAGGTGATCTTATGTCATTGTCAGGGTATGAATTTTTTTCTCCCTTTAATAGCTAAGGTTCATCTTTCTTTTCCCTTTGCATCTCAGAAGTTGAACCTTTCTTTTCAACCTTTTTTTTTTTTCTTTTTTTCTTTGGCAGGTCAGAGAAGACCCTGTTTTCCGACGAGAAGGATCTGATATTCATGTGGAAGCTGTCTTAAGCATCACTCAGGTAGTTTTCCTGTTCGTTCTTGTGTGCGCTTTGAAATCTAATTCAATGCTATTCATATTCTAGGCTATCGAGGCCTATATGGAATGATAATAATTGAGATAAGTCTGAAATATCTATTTTCTTTTTCAGGCAATTTTGGGAGGAACCATTCAGGTCCCCACTCTTACAGGAGATGTTGTTCTCAAGGTTTGTATGGAAATATCTTATATCCTAACAATTTGGCACCCGTTGAAGTATGAATGACAGGCCCTGTTTGGCAGGTTCGTCCTGGCACCCAAGCCGGTCAGAAGGTGGTTTTGAAAAAGAAAGGTGAGCAAATTGATGGAATCCTCCGCAAGATGAAGATTTTATTGTTATAACTTGTTTGAGAAATGTGATTCTTGGATTTGTAAGTTGGTAATCTTAGCTAATCTCTTTTTTCATTATCATTGTTTTTCTGACAGGGATCAAAACCAAAAACTCATGGACATTCGGGGATCAATATGTTCATTTTAATGTCAGCATCCCAACGTAAGTGCCATCTAGATCATGTTCTGTGGGGTTAATGAGCTCCCAACTCTCTCACACAATGACACCCTGGGCTTTGATTTTTCCCTCTTCTGGAAAGAAACTTACGTATGATTAAATGCTTAGAACGTAAATGGTTTGGCTATTTCCATGTGTTGCAGAAACCTAACACAGAGACAGCGCGAGTTAATCGAGGAGTTTGCGAAGGAAGAGCAAGGGGAAGATGTTAAACAGAGGGCTGCTTCAGGTTCTGGATGAAAACGGTTCTTTTATTATCATACATACCGTGATCAACAAAAGAAGAAAAGGGGTTTCTACACTTATATCAATCAATCTAGGCAGGGAATCGCCTGGGGTAGAATTTTTGTAGGATTGGCAATTTTGTGATGTCCCTTGAGTGTATTTTTCATAAAATGATGGTTTACGGTCTAATTTGATGGAGAGGGCAATTCCTGAACTCAGTGATATGTACATATTTTCCTTTTGATTATCTTATGCATTGGAGGTAGAAGGAAGGTCCAAGTTTACCCGCAGGCTGTCCTTTTTTGCGGTGTAAGGTGCCCTTGCTAGTTGCTAGATAGGCTTAGAACCATAATAGAATGTAATATTATGATTTAAAATTTATTCAGTGTGAATTGTGGAAAATACATTCTTTACGTTTGACAAAATGAATAGCACAGAATTATGTGAGGGGAGCAGATGCTTAACATTGAAGGTCAAGAAATAATTTAATCTTATTAAGAATTACAAGTAGCTAAGTGCATTTTTTTTTTTAACATTTCTTTATAGGGCTTTAGATTATATGTTCTATTCTCCTTATTAGTGTCTTATGTTTGGACTTTTTTTTTTTTTTGGGGTAAAAGGTTAATTTGACAGATTGAAACTTGATTGGATGATATAATTAAAAAAAAGTTTAAATATATAATAATTAAAAAAGGCATGGGCTAGTAAAAAGAACTAAAAAAGATGAGTTGTATTTCTCTCACATATATACGTATATGAGCATGCACCACGTCAGTTGTAGTGACGTCTAATTAAATGTTTAAAGTAATTTAAATAGAATTGTGCATGATATTTTTTTAATTGGTTTTATTCTTATAAAAGAATATAAATTTAATTTTTTATATTTTTTTCTCTACTATCATTAGTATTAAAATTAATTTACATTTAATATCATTAAATGTATATTTTTATTAAACAGACTATAAATGATATGCTGCAGTATGCAATTTGATAAATTTAAGAAAAATATTAAAATTAAATTAAATCAATAAAAATTAAAGAGTTAATGTATTAATGTAGAAAATATTTTTAAATGCTAAAAATTTAATTAGATCTATTTAAAGAATATATATATATATATATATTACAAATAATAGAAATGTTAAATTTATAAATAATACAAATATCTAATTTCAAAATGTAATGTGAAAGAATAATAAGTTATTCAATAAATTTAAAAAGCATAAAATGTTGCTAATAATTGAATTTCAATGTAACTAATGTGAAAGTTTCAAAATTTAGCTTTTGGCCTAATTATAGTTGAGAAAGAAAAACTTACGACTACTATTACTTAAACATATTTTATCCCCTAACTAACTTTTAAGCTTACAAACTATAGTTTAAACTAACTAAATGGAATCTCGAATAAGCACTTAAAATATAAACTTTCCGCATATTGTTTCTTTGCCTGAACCCAACAGGATGTTATTCTCTCTTCCAACAACATAAAATATCAATATTATTCTGGTGCTTGGCGGTGATTATATATGTATGTTTTTATTAAAAAAATTACAAGATCTATAATAAAATACGAGCAAATTGTAAGAATGAAAAGTTATGTTTTTTTTAAATTAATTATTAATTTTTTAACCTGGAAAGTGCAATTTTAGACCACTTGGATGGAGTATTTAATCCGAACGAAAGCAGCATAAATCTGTCCCATTTCTATATTTCTATGTTATAATTATAATTCAGCAAATCATAGTTGAACGAAATTACAGGGTACAACATAGACTGGAACTTAAAAGTTTAGCACATAATAATCCTCGCCAACATCTATCTCTTTATCGCGATAATTCTTCGGTGAAGTACACCCAAAAAAAAAAAAACAAAGATAAAAACATTATTAATAATAGCTTTCATGCTGCTCTTCACTTCATGATATCACCTGCAAACAGAAAAAAGAGGGGAAAAAAAAAGAAAATTAATAATCATCCATATGCATGCAGATACTCTATACCTTAATTACTGTTTGAAAGTGATAAACCGTAGCCAACTTCCCATGATATTACAGATTTGCTTGTTAAAAAAAAAAAGAAAAAGAAAAAAAGAAAGACAAAGAAAGATAGACAACATACATGGCTCGAAGTTTGCAGTGCATCTCTCCGGGAGCTGCAAGGCCATATTCCGGTCTACGCCGGAGATCGGAGGGCCATTGGCAATGACACACAAGCAGGGCTGCCCTAAGGCCTTGAGGGCATTGCAGCAGGCATCACTTGGAGGAACAGAGCTGAATGGAGCCACTGCTAGCCTGCAAGGAATGAGCTGCACAAGAGCAGAGAAGAAGGTGCTTGTACATTGACTGTTTTGTCCCTCTGCCCCAAAGGATCTCACCACTATCAACAACACCAACAATACTGATACACCCTTTGATCCAACCATCTTCATCCTCAAGTCTTTTTGATTTCTTAAGAGTGAGAGGATTTGAATTTATAGAGGATGAAACTCGTGTCATGTCATGTCATACCTGCTTGTGCTCTAACACAGGGTCATGCTCATTCAACCACTTTTAAGTTTGTGGTATCAGTCTGATTTCTTTCACCATCAATGCTATTAGTGCTTGATCACTTCAGTTACTAGATTCAAATCACATGATGTCTCATTTTTTTTTTTTTTTGAGGTGGAATACAATTTCGCTTCATAATTCTTTGTATTGCATACTTGTTTTTATGAATGTAAAACAAATAGTACTTCCATGGTTCTACGTTATAATTTATAAGATATTTTTGAATAAAATTACGCACATTAATAAAATTCAATACATATGACCTTATATTTTCAAGGTAGAAATATCAACTTCAAGAAATGTCATTAATTTAATATTCTATTTGTAAAAAAATATTAGAAAAAGAGAGAGGGAATGTAATGGGAATAGTAATATGAAAAAGTATCATTAATGAAAATTTTATTAAAATATTTTATATTTTGAAATATCAAATTTTTCTCAAAAGTCTCTCATAAATTGTGGCGGAAGAAGTATTATTTAAAATATAACAGGTTTGATTTCATATTAGAATCCATTAAATTCATGGGTTTGATAGATTGCAAGTAATTATAATAACAATTATATGTTTTTGAATTACATAAATAATATTCTCACTTTTGATTTTTGAATCATGCTTTATCAACATATCTAAAATTTCAAAAATAATAAATGAGTTGTAAAAATAAAATATTCAAGGCTCATTTGGTTGCTAGAAAGGAATGAAATGGATAAAAAAATAAAAAAAATAAAATGATCAAAATATGAAAGAAACCTAATAAATCATATTCATAATGGGAAATAGTAGTTTGGTTCATGCATTGAGAGTCATTTTTTATAGTTTGTAGAGAAAATATTCGTGATATATAATATTAAATTTTATTACATTTATCATAAAAAAATAATTTAATTTATTTTTATTTTATTTTTTTAATTCATTTCATTTTCATCCTTTTAGCAACCAACATCACTTTATATATAATATAAAATCCATAAAAAGTTACACTATAAACTATAAATGAGGCCGCCCATCTTAGGTTGTTCAATACCCAGAGCAACAACCAATCACTAAATAATGGAAAATCTAAAGAATCATACTACTTATAACTTAATCAGTGCAAATTGCAAAGAACTTTATATTTTACATTAATATTGACATATATATTGATATTAGTTTAACTTCCTTTTAGAGACGGGAAAACCCAAAACTTGTTTCAGTAAATCTTCTACATTCACAAAATAATTGAAATATAAACACTACAATAAAATATTTCCTTGCATCTCTCTCTCTCTCTAAATACATCCTCTATGTTCACTTCATGAATTAATTAAAAAAAATCCAAAGGATGATTATCCACAAATCTCTTCACGAGAAACACTACATTCGTCATCGGCACAAGCACAACTCTGCCATTTTTCTCTACCTTTCTGGCAAGAACATTTATCTTTCACAGCAATTGCAATCACCTCAAACTCATGTACGAGCTCTCAAACTACAAGAGACCTATCATGATCTCATCATATTACACAAGCAAAATCATATTCACATGCAGCAAAAGAAACATTACAGAAAGAATTGATTAACTACATAAATATATGAATAAATATATAGGCAGTGAAGATAAATCAGAGCATGGCACAGCGCGTATGCATTTAATCTTTTTTTCCCTTCATTTTCTACCTTTTTTTATTTATCATTCAAAATTAAGATCTCTCAAGTAGACAACAAAAACAGGCTGTCCCAAAACAAATAGACCATACAAGGCCATACCCTATCCCACAAATTTTAATTCAACTCTATGGACGATATTTTGGAGGAAAAATGGATACCAAGATCCCAACAATTTCCATTACATTCTTCTCATCTTCATTCCATCAAAAATTCACGCCCTTGCAATGAATAATTTTACCAACCAGAGATATTTATAAGCATCATTAAAATTCATTTAGGAGAGCGTTCCAAAATGTATGTAAGCCAGATGACTTCGTGTGTTGGTTGATAGGAACTCCTTTCCTCGTAAAAAATTTTGCCCAACGGTCGTTCTCAGACGTGAAATTACTCAGCCGTCACTCCAAATATTTGATCTTTCGTTGTAGCCTAGCTGCCTTCTGGTTTCGACTCTGTTCTTACGTATGTGAGACTGCGAGCACCAGGCATAGCAATACTGCTGGTATTTACAAAAGCACCACCGTCAGGCTGAGCAGTGCCTTGGGCATCCCGCTTCCATTGCATGCTCCTAGCCCCAATTCTAGTCGGAGGCCGAGGCCAGAATGCACCAGGAATGCCTCTCGGAAAGGGAGCTCTTGAAAACCTAGCAGCAGGAAAGTGAGATCCCCGAACTACACGTGGCCATGCCATTGTTGGAGTGGATTCTTGCGGTGCAGCACTTTTCTTCACGACCTGCATTGGAAAAATCAAAAATCAGAAACTATGGTAATGGGCAAAGGAGAATTTCAGAATGATGATCAATGCTTAAGGAGATTTAACCCCCACACTTCCCACATCATGCACTCCCCGAAAATCCCATTAAATCTGAGGTTGTACCTTAAGAATCCGTGACATGAAAGATGTGCCATCCAGAGATAATGCGTTCTCTGCTGATTCTTTTCGCATGAACTCCACATAAGCTGACCTGTTTAAGAAATGTGGATCAACAATGCAAAAGAATGCATTGGACATATAATGAACGAACAGCACGTGAAACACCTTACCCTTTGGGTTGCCCTGTTGCTGCGTCAACAAGTATAACCACTTTTAGCACGTCCCCAAATTTATTAAAATGGCGAGATAAACTGTCTTTGGTGGCACCAAAATGAACCTGAGAAAATTAATATTTGGAAACTTTAGAAAATGGGCCGATTTAACATATTCAAGGGGCCTAAGCACCCCCACACAAATCAAAGGAGAACAAATCATTACATTGCTAACAAAAATGGTTCTGGAATCAGCATCCTCCAAAGGACGACCAGCAGCACCTGAACCTGAGAACCCAAAAGGTAAAAAGTCAAACTAAAAATATAGAAGCGAGGTTGACAAAGCCTGAAACAGAAACCAAACAGTAAAAAAATGCAAACCACAAAAGCATAACTCACTAAGCAAGTATTCTACCAGAAATATAAAATTCACAATATTTTCTTGGAAGCAAGAAGAATTTCATCGAATGATATCTAGCACTCACCAGAAGTGGATGCTGGTGTCTTCTGAGGTTCTTTTTGAACATTAAAAGCAGGGTTGGCCTGTTAAATGTCATAATTCCGTATAAAAAATGAGCAATAACCAAAACCTCAAGCACATTATTTTCTTTACTATTTAATGAAATTCCAAATTTAATCAGAATATTTGCATTGAATGAATAACTCACATTCCCATTACTAACTTTTGGAGTGCTGATATTGTCCTTCGTCAGTTGATGGCCAGACCTGGGAGCCCCTGCCTCAGTTTTAAGACCATCTATTTCTGCAAATTCTCTTGGTTCCTGATATTGTGATGGCTTCCAAGTATTCACATTTACAGAAATATTCACTATCTTATGGGACGTGCTAGGTGCAGCAGGTTGCTCATGATCTCTATTCCGCTTAAGATGCATAACATGATCAGTATTTTTAGCTACACTATACTGCACCATCGATGAATTATCACCCCTGTTTCCACCAGAGGAGGCAATCTCCAAAGCTCTGATCCCCCTATGACCCATGACATTCACATCATTATACCCTTCATTGTCTGAAGTATAATCAGAGGGAAAATCAGCTTCATCTTCTAACATAGTATTACAAGTGGCATACTGACCACTGTAATCAGTTCCTTGAAGATGCATTGATTGGTTTTGCTCCTGATTTTGATAATCATCTTCAAGTTGGCTGCCACCATCCACCAATGGATTCATACCACGACCAAGTCGATCAAATACACTGCCTGACGATTTAAATTTCATCACATCTTCAGCAGCTTCTGCCACAGCTTTAATCACTGTAGACATGGGATTTGACAACCTAGAAACAGGCTGTAACCTCTGATGCCGTTCAGCCAACGATGAATCACCAGAAGATGTAGAAACTACAGAACGAAGACGCTTCAAGGAGGGCTCCACAGATGCGCCTGAAATAGATGGCCTTGAAGTAGCCACTGCATCTCGTACAGCAAACTGAAGTAGCCGTCGAGGTGCATTGAGAGTTGCTTGTGAAATTGCATCCCTCTGTCAAAATTACTTGAAGGTTAGAAGTCAAAGCTCAAAAATAAAAAGTCATTGTCTTGTTTACTATAAAATTAGACATAAAATGGACAGGGAAAAAGACACAGAAGGGCGTCTACAGGTTTCATAAGTAATACAAATAGAAATAGTTGGAAACTGTTATGAAAACATCATCTTAACTTTTTTAACCAATAAAAGCAATATCCCAAAATCCTCCCTACACAGTTGCCGTCAACTACAAAACCGTTAAAGCAACTATTATACCTTCTCTGCTGTATGACTGAAGTCATTTGTATTCCCCTTGGCACTAATCTACTTATTAGCGTTGAAATATTCTAAACAAAATTCAGTTTACAGAAATTCATCATAAACATCACATAATCATCAATATAAATATTTGAACAATTCAAACCTTTGTCTTTTGTTCATCTGGATGGCCTCTCTTCCTCCGAACTGGAGGTGAAGGTGGTGACTTTGGATGATGGTCAACTTTGGTTTGGGTTTTTTCCTCTGAATGAAAATTGTCGACCACAGAGCTGCGCAGTGTAGGTGGCTCAATTTCCTCCCTCACTAATCCTTTCCAATCTTTATTATGCCGTCTTTGAGATAACTTATGAGTCTTTCCTCTATTGGACTCTGAATTTAAATGTTGAGCATCATCACCACTAGCCTGGACCTCTGATGAAATTCTTTTCGGAGTCCCATCCTGCACCTCTTTGGGTTGTACATACAAATCTATATTCAGATTCAGATGATCCCACAGCCTGTTAACAATATATACATGAATTAGTACATATCATTATGCATCCATCTACTACATTGATTGCAATGACAATGACATCAATTCCATCAATAAGATATAATATGAAAATTACCAGGATACAAAAGAATCACTATCATCCCCCAGGAAAACATTCAATTCATTCCTTGCTTGTTCTTTGCGCCTGCCATTCCTCAATAGCACAATAACATAATCCTGCCACAGCATAGAGTGAATTTCAAATTAAATTTGCAGTGGGTAATTTAAAATCTCCAAAACCCAAATCCAACATATGAAGCCAATGTTATAACATTAACATATGTAGCTGAAAAACAGTCTCAATATGACAATTGGAAAAGGCAGATACCCTCCTCCAGATACACATCATTGATCATACGTGCTTTTCCACTTAAAGACAAACTAAATTAAAGGTATTTAAGCCATGCACTTATAACCCTCATTCCCGCATCCAATATCACTACCAGACTACTTGAGGCCTCACTTGAATCAGGAACCCAAATCCCCATGTACTTATAACATCTAACCACCAAGACACTTAATCAGTGTCCTCCAATCAGTTTCTTCAATCAAAATCATACATAGACTTAAAACCAAACCCCATTAGATGAAGCAACACTGCAAAGCCAAACATATGTATTCAAATCCTTATCGTGGTCCAAAACAAGTTGAATCCAACTTGCTCACTCCAAGTATGACATCATTACAGTTCTCAACTAGGCTACAATTAAGCATCCTTTTTTTTTTGGAGGGGGAGGGTCAAGAATTAAGTTTTTTTTTTTTTGGAGGGGGAGGGTCAAGAATTAAGCATCATTTTGCTGCTCTCTTCCTATTATCTGAAAGTTAAAAACAGAAAAGAAAAGAAAAGAAAAAAAAAGTATCAGCACTGTGCTGCTACGAGCAAAGGCCAAAGCCACTCATTTTCTGAAAACAATATTAACATCTACTGAAAGCAAAGCACAAACTAGTACTTTTAACTGTCTCTCAGAAATTTGAACCATCAACAGAAATTTTCTGATTTATCTGCTCAGAACTGCAATATTTGTACGTGCACCAAATCTCTATTTACCACATAAATATGTTGTAGAATAAATTATATACTCATCAATCTGTATTTTCACATTAGTCTACATCCAGGACAAATCATCCATACAAAAGTTACGAATTTCATAAGGGGAGTGTAAGTGCTTGTGTTTCAAGTCATATACATAATTTACAGCATGACTGCAAGAAGCTCCCCCTGCTAATTCCATACAATAACATCATATAGTTCCCATCTAACCTGATGTCGAACTATATGATAACATCATATAATTTTTAATCCATTCAACATTCCCTCTTTATGTGATAAATAGCCTTCGTCTACAACTTAGACGGAAAAGTGACACATATGGGTTATCATAAGAGGCATAAACCATTGTGAAGAAGCTACTTATGAACAAAAATCTGAGCCAATTGAACCTCAGTTTCACTTTTACAACAACCAAATAATCTCCACTTCGTACTTATTTGAACCATATAGGATTCCTTAACATGTCGAACTCCTAAACATTCCCGTTACACTTCTAGGAATTATTCCACATAAGTCCTTCTCAATCATTCAGTCATAATTCCTAGGTAAGCTTACATCATTATCATCAAGAATATTCAGAAAATGTCTCTCTTTATTTGTTACGAAAATGACTTTTTCATCTGATGCAATTTGTGCGGTAAACACAACAGCAATAATAATTCACAAGACATTCTATTACACGTGAATCCAAAAATCATTGTAGGGACGATCTGGCAATGATGTTTCCCAAGTTCAATTTCGACAAATTCCATTAGAGTAAAAAAAGGGTAACAAGAAGTTAATGTGATGATTTGAGACCTTTAAGAGGTCCTACTTAGACAAAGAGTGGCACTCCCCTCACGGCACAGGAGGCATGACCAAGCCAGACTTCCTTTAATCACACTATATACAATACATTATAGAAGAACAAAGAGCCAACCCAGGTAAACATCCAAGTCTTTTGCTCCCAGATTGATAAAGTGAACAAGTGCACAAAAACGACTATCGTGACAATAAGCTCGTACCACAAGAGTGTCATCAGTGTAATCCCCCATGAACTCCTTCAGCTTCTCGTTCACTTTTTCCCTCAGCTTCAACACGCCATCAAGCGTGAAGTTAGCCTTGAATGTCCGATCGTCGACCCGATCCACGCTCCCCATCTCCACCTAACAAAACCCTAACCAACCCCTATACCTACAATAACCAAAAACCCAAAGAAAACAAAAAAGAACTCGACCAAAATCGCGATGGTCTCCGAACCCTAATGCACCCGCGAAGGTTGATCAAAATCTTCCCCGAAAAGACTAAAACTTTCGAACACTCCGCAGATAAGAGGATTGATGGGGTGATAGGAATTTGCTGCGAAGTCAGGAAGACGGTGGGCATTCATGGGAGAAAACCCCTCCCAGCGTTCTCCGTAAGATGGGGAGAGGACTAAAGAGAATCGTCAATTAAAAAGGAAATTTGAAGCTAATAGAGCCAGTTTGTGTACCCTATCAATACCATCAAGATTTTTTTTTTTTTTTTGGGGGGGGGGGGGGGGGACATCAAGATGGTGTTCGTGACGAGGGACTTGCTGGGGGTATTAATATGCAGACATAAGAGCGCATTTGATTTGCCCGTTTGTGAAAATGAGGTTCTTGATATGGAAAACTCGAAAATCATGCAAGGTTTCCCTTATGAATTATCAAATTAGGGTATCACGTTGGCCAAAAGAAAAGGCAAATTGAATCCAATCCAAGTTGAATAATAAAAAAAAAGAATGTGCGAAATTGGGATACGAGGGTGTTAATTAGGGAAACAAAAAACAAATATCGTAATTGTAAATGAAAAAGTTTACACAATTTATCTTCTCAAAGTCTCAACTTTAACACTTCTTATTCATATAGACAAAACGATTAGTGTACCGAAATAAATTAACATATATCACTGATTATGACGGAACACGACTTTCAATGTTCAAGTGATTTTTAATTTAGAAATTTTCGCAATTCAAATTAAATTATAAATTTTATAATGTTGAATTTATCATTTAAAATTTATATAATTTTTATCAAAAAATTTTACAAAACTCTTGACTTTAAATGTTCATCATAAAACTTTTAATTTTACATAATGTAACTTTTTTTATTCACTATTTTCATGGACATCTTTGACGTTGTTTAAGAGAGTAATTCGACCAAAAACAGACAAGCATGTTATCTTCAACCACAAGATATGGCTTTTATAAAACAAAAAGGCTTCTTTTAGTTCATGCAATTTTTATATTAATGGTCTTCTAATAATTAAAATAAATATTAAACACAAAATTTATAATAACCTGCACATTCTTTTTTAAAATAGCATGGTCATGGTTACAACAATGTAGGAGAAAACAAACATATATCATGTTGGATTATAAAAGATTACTACATTCTAAGGGTGACTTGTTGAAAATATACATATTTAAGCTATAAAATACTTGATGAACAAGTCTCCTCACCCAATAATTTCTTTTTTTAAAGACATAATTCAACATAACAACTCAATCTTACATGATGAGATTCTCAATTTGCTTAATATAGTAGAGAATATGACTCTAGTCATATTTGCCTAAGACAATAATGAGAATCTAATTGAGTCACAATAAACTATTAACTTAAATAACTTCTCTTCTCAACAAAGCTTGAGATCATGAAGAATGGTCAAAAATTCAACTACTATGTTAAGATAGTATCTAAAATATTTGATGAAATGTCCTATCCATTTACCATTTATAACTGCCACATGTTACTCAAATTAGATACATTTATTTAGTCTAAACCAAGTAGGTTTAGGAAGATGCCATTTGTAGAGCAAATCCCTTTATTTCAGGGCTAAAATGTTCAACCTTGTTTGCAGCTTGATATCATCGATAATGTGATGGGTGCCAATGAAGGCCATGTCGCTTTTTCGAGTGTCTTTGTCAAACTATAACGTTCGAGCATAAGAATTTTCGTATATTTCAGCAAGCAATAGTGAATAATCTTTGCCAATTTACTTTTCTCCCCGTCGACTGCCTCGTTCGTGGTGTTCGAAAGTATTCATTCTAGCAAGGAAAGAGAAGTTACACATTCATAGGCTATTTAGCCGTGCCAATCTTTCCATAACATACATATTAAAGTTTGGATAAACCAGAAAGTCGAATTTTGAAATTTTCATGATAAAAATTAAAAATTGCAGTACATGAAATAAAAAATTATGAAGTCCAATTTATATCTTCTTTCTATCATTGAAAGCGGTTTATCATCAACTCTGAGCCCAAACCGTTCCATTGGAGATGTGACTGTGTTCTCCTATTGGAACAAGGTAATATATTTTGTTCTAAATTTACAAAATATATTACATATAAAGAACTTATTTTTAAACCATCTAAAACTTAATCATAGCTGTAAATTTGGAATTTCAATAGGTGGGTTATAATTTAAGTATAAACATAAGAATTCTTATAAGTTTTTTTCTAATACAAAATCACTGAAAAACTATGCAAGAAAATATTCACTTCATGTTAGACGAGAAAATGCTTTTGCATATTAAGGGTGGATTTACAAATATTGTAATATCTAAAATGTAGTTAGCTACGTAACAAACAAGCCAATCAATACATTTATTCGTTTCATTAAAAAGTAAAAACATGCTCAAGTGAAGTCTATAATTTTGTGAATGATAATATGATAGCTACTATTAAAGGTGTTAGATTGATAAAAATAAAAGTTGATTTTTCTTCGCTTCATGTAAATGAGTAGTAAATTTCATAAAGTTAGATGCAATGATTTCAAAATCGAACTAGACCAAGTAATAATGATGCTTATTAACATAATGATCATAATTCCACAGTTGGCTGTTGGATCTTCTTAAAAAGCTTAAACTAACCAAGGTTGACTAAATTTCACCATTATAGATCTTTATAATAACCTCTATTTTCCAAGCTTTGTTCAAGTCATACATACATACATTGACATTATCATTTCAATAATCCAGTTTCCCATTGTAATTAATACAAGTTTAGTGCTGCTACGTAAGGAGTAGAACAAATCACTCATAATCGTTGTTTGAAATGTAATTAAGTGGACAGTAACTTTTTATTTATTTTTGAGTAATCTCTTGATAAATATTTGAACCATAATTTTTTAAATAATCCCTAGAAGCTTTTCATTACTTTATTAGTTCTATGATTCAGATCTCTCTGGTCAATAAAAGATGAGAAATTATCGATTTGTATGGCATTGGTTGCATGAAATCCAGTGAATCAAGTGATTTCATTTATTTAGCTTGTGGCACATAATTAAAACATGTGAAACACCAATATAGTAGTGGACGTAATTAATTTTGTTGCTTAATTTCATCTCCAGGAAGGCTGGAACAAGTTCAACACGGAATAAAAGTAAACAATTCTAATGATCTAATGGAACTTTTATTATGCATTGATCAACCACCTTTTTACCCCAAAACACAGCAAGAAGGCATATATGATAGGGAAAGAGTTCATGACACAACTAGGCTCAAAGCTTCAGCACTGCATAAGATAACGTACTCAGTTACTTGGCTCTCCAAGGGCTAAAACACTCGTATTTTTCCACTGAAGCTGGGGATGCAACTCAATGCAATTTGTAATTTAAACAAAGAGACTCAGAAGAACTGAAATTGAGTATTGAACTCCTATTTCCAAGGAGATCAATCAATATGATCACTAGTTCACTTTCCAAGCGCATGAAGCATTATTGCATTTTGTGCGTGTAAACGGTTCTCTGCTTGAGGGAAGACAATTGAATATGGAGCTTCAATGACTTCATCCGTAACCTCCACCCCTCTTTCCGCTGGTAAGCAATGCATGAAAAATGCTTTCGGGCCTGCCAAGTTCATCAGACCTCGGTCCACCTGTAAAATGAAATTGCAGATAAGATCTTCTTGTCAATTTAACTGTTCAAGCACGTGACACTATTAACAAGCCAAGCTCAAAACCGCTTTACTGCAACCAGGGCTTTTCTAAGAAGCACTTTTTCATGTGCTAAACATGCACTGAGATTCTTCAGTAATTCAGTGTAAGAATTTGAGGACACCCAGCTGAATAATTAAAGTGAAAGATGAAAAATAAGGGAAGGAAAACACTCAGGTCCTCTAGCTTTACCAGAGAGCTAGACTTGGTCACTCCCAACCATCGGCTTAATCCTCTCTCTCCTCCATCCCAAGCCGATATATATTCCTCTTCTGCATCATAGTTTGTTACGCTATTCTGTCTTTTTCTTCCCCACTTGCCAGCTCAGCTCTACAAACCATTATTTTCTCCCTTTCATTTAATTCTGGCTGGGCAATGTCAGAGAAGTTTTAGGCACCTAATTTAAGTGAAAAGGGTCGGAATCCTAGAGTAATTTTATAATCTAATCTAAATAGAACTATATTTCTATCATACGATTGTCATCTTGTTCATGAAAAGCTACATATTATTCATCTGAAATGGGCATGTAGAATTTAAATAATTGCCTATCATAATTCAAAAGTAACATACTCGTGAAAAATAATATGTTAGCTACCTGAAATCCTTGAAACACTTGGCGACGGTAGGCAGCTTCTTCCTTTTGGCCCATACTGGCCCAGACATCAGAATAAACAACATCAGCTCCTCTAACTGCTTCTTTAGGATTATTAGTTATCTCAATTTTGCTGATTCCAGCCTTCCTTGCTTTCTCGACTGTTTTCTCATCAGGTTCAAAATCTTTGGGGCATGCACAAACGAAGTGAAAAGGCACGACAGATGCCAGCAACAACCATGAATGAACAATATTATTTCCATCTCCAACATAGACAACCTGACATTCATTGAGCATTGCAGAACATAATCAGAGAATAACTTGTTTAGAATTGCTCCAAAACATTCGTAAAAAGAAAACTCTCAAAGACAAACTATATAACCTAACCTTGGTTCCTTCCAACCGACCAACATGTTCAATTATAGTAAGGGCATCAGCCATTATCTGGCAAGGGTGGTTGTAGTCTGTCAAGCCATTGATGACTGGCACAGTTGCATACTTAGCTAGATCAAGTATATCCTGGGTTGAAAAAGAAGAGGTAAAGCAAAAGTAATTAATATCAGCTTCAATCTCTATTATAGTTTATTCTTTCCACCTTTTTAGAACTAACGAGCTCTAAGAACATAACTCTGGTTTTTCTAGTATTTAGAAGTACAATAAAAAGGACCAATTGCCTAATATTTTGACACTCCATATGGCTATTTTTTTCATACACAGCACAACAGTTAAAACCTGACAAGGGTAACTTTATCACTGCTGCAAAATACATACGAATTTACTTCAATTAAAACTACCTGACCTGGCCAACCAAAAGACCAAGGAATTTATATAATTTGCTTTCTTGATTTAAGTACTTAAATTTGTCCAACTGCAACAGACCCACTCTAAGAAACAAAATTAGAGAAAAAGGGACACCTCCATTGCAGCCTGATTCAATGCAGCATGTAAAAAATAACTAACCAAGTATCGTGATTTTTAACTGAAAATGTAACAAATAAATTTAAATGAACAAAAAACACTAGTCTCTTGGACCAAAAGCCACACAAAATTAACAACATAAGTAACTCACCAGCATACCTGATGAGCAAAAACTCGGGCCATAATTATGTCATTATAGCAAGACAAAACACGCGCAATGTCACAAGTTTCCTCCCGCTTACCCATTTGGATATCATCAGGTCCTAAATATAAAGCATGCCCACCTAACAATGTAAATCCAGTCTCAAACGAAACCCGCGTTCTCATGGATGGCTTAGTGAAGATCATTGACATTGTCTTCCCCTTAAATGGTAAGAAGCTCCTGTCACCTGATTTTAACAGAGCCTTCACCTCAATAGCTCGATCTAAGATCTTCAAAATAGTATCCTTATCAAAATCATCTATATGGAGAAAATCCTTCAAGCCAGCTTTTTCTGCAAGAGCAAGACAACATTTAAAAAAATAAGAAGAAGAAGAACCTCTGGAGATGGCGCTGGTGGCCAATTTTTGTTCAAATATCACAATGGCTATTCATTTCCAGAAAGAGTTGAAAATCTGTTGCTAGAGTGCAACAAAATCGTATAGAAAAAACTACTTTTAGAGAAGTGCCCTTCTCTGAACATGACAAACAAGCATCAACTCAGTGAAATTATGAACATTGTGAATCATATAGCAGACATAGAAATAAAGTTCACTAGAAACATTAGAATGGTAATAGTGTACTACTTTAAATTGTGTGATATGATGAAAGTTGCATGCAATAAACAGTTTTATCGGCCAAAAAATTAGTTTTTCCTCTTACAAAATTGTTAATTCATGTACTGATGTAGGTGACAAAACTTTTGCGTCACACATAATTTCCAAAACATAAAGCCATCTGATTACCACCGAACTCAACTTATCATGTTAGCACTTCCACATTCCAAACGATCATAAAAGATTACTGCTATTATGAGCTATACTATATCTGATAAGGTTTTGACCTACTGGTTAGCAATTTTAACCTAACACAAACCAGTGTAATAGACATAAGAGTCCATAAATACTCACGCCAGGAGACACACTTGATAATGAATAATGAATTTAGTACTATATCTTCGTATCAAGCTTGTAGCTCAGACAGAGAATTTGGTTAAGGACGGTAACTTCAAACCGCAACCAGAACCCTTCCTGCGGCAGTGGAGAACTTTTAGACAATTATCACACGCATTTCCGCTCATATTGCAGCAATCGAAAATCCATGCACATAAATGAAAGTCCAGAACATCTAGCAAAGTTGTTTTAGCTATTGCAGATAGTATTGCACAAGTTCCAACAAAATAAATTAAAGTAGTTCCTGAAACCCTAGGACAACGATATTTACTCAGATCATAAAATAAATGATAAAGAAGAAGCAATGCATCCCATGAAATTGAGATGGGCATAAAGCAATTGAGGAATTGAGGAAGAAGAGTACCTTTACCCCTGACCGATGACTCAGCAGAAACAGCGGAAGAGGTCTGACTCTGGCATGATATTTTGAGGCGAAATGCCGGACAACTCGCCGGAGAAAAAATCATGGTGCCAGAGAAACGAGTGCATTGACGGAGATTCTGACCGGAGAGGGAGGGAAATGCCGAGGATAGCGCGTTTTTATCAGATCGTAATGCACAGTGACATGAAGTAGCACTAGCAGCCATTTTGCGGTGAACACTGAGCAGGACACACTGCGTATTTTTGCTGATTGGGGTTCGATATATATGGCTGCGTAGGAAATCAATATCAAAGAAGATATTTTCATAAATGAGTTTTATGACAAAACTTAATAAAAGAAAATGCTTGTAGACTGGAAATCGGGCCTCACAAGCAATAGGAAGAAACTAAAACATGTTAAAGATGCGCTAAAGATACATTACAATATTACACGCATATCAGGCAAGCAGTAACAATTTGAAGTTGATCAGAAACCTGTAAGAAGCTGCACTCTTCCTGTGGCAGTGGACTGTACAGAGGACTTCGATCAAGCGCGTTGCGGACTGTGGCTATGGGTGTGGTTAGGAGAACGATAGGACCTAACGACAGCAGAGGGGCAGAGCAGTATAGCGTATAGCCCGGTAGGGTTTAGGTTCAACTTTGAGTGACTTGGCAGGAAGGAAAAAACTGAGAGAATCGCACAAAAGCACGATGATTACACTCCACTTCTTTCAATTTTAAAATAATTGTCCACGCGACTCTCTTTGGAAATAAGAATTTTATTAAAAAAAACAGAAATACCTCTAATTTTTAAATATATATTCGCATATTCATTATTTACTAGTAGAGTTCATTTATTTACAATTAGCGGTTGACAAATTGGCGAGCATAGTGTCACGGGTTGAGAGTCTAGCGCAGCACACGGCGCCCGTGCGGCATCCTGGAGGACCCCATAATCCTCAGGACAAGCCTTACCACATACAGATCACACTGGTTTCGCCCTGCCATGGGCTCATCAGGAGACGGCACTAGCCCTCGACCAGTTGTGCACTCAGCCCGAAAACTGAGGCAGAACACCCCCAATGCTAATGTCTCCCCCTTTACCCATATTGTGCGAGGTTAACCAGCGGATCGTTCATTATCTTGGTCTCTACACGGTCACGGAAATATCATCCGTGACATTCTCCCACACCCAATCTAGCACGCTCTCGTGCTAAGGGAGAACGACTCTGCCCAATGATTGTACGTACAGTACTGCCACAAACACATCAGCTTACTGCTGAATGGCCACCCGAGTCCTGCACTCTTCGGACACACTCGCACCCGCGAGCCAATAGGAGTGGAGTCGACAACGGCCAATCTTCCCACCCGAGTCCCCACTTTTGGACCCACCTGCTCGGAGGCCTTTTTAGAGCGGTGTCGAGGTCGACCAGTCCAACGTGGGACCCTACAGGCACACGGCAGTAAAGTACGTCCTGCTCTAATACCACTCTGTCACGGGCTGAGAGTCTGGCGTAGCACACGGCGCCCGTGCGGCGTCCTGAAGGACCCCATAATCCTCAGGACAAGCCTTACCACATACGTATCACACTGGTTTCGCCCTGCCATGGGCTCATCAGAGAGGCAACACTAGCCCCCGATCAGTTGTGCACTCAACCCGAAGACTGAGGCAGAACACCCCCAATACTAATGTCGCCCCCTTTACCCATATTGTGCGAGGTTAACCAGCGGATCGTTCATTATCTTGGTCTCTACACGGTCACGAAAATATCATCCGTGACAATAGGCTTACATATTTACAATTATAAATATAAGTTTATATATTCACAACAATCCATTTATATATTTATAATTTATAATTATAACTTTACGTATTTACACACAAATCAAAATACATAATTAATAAATATGTAAAATTATTATCATAAATATGTAAACACATGCTTGTATATCAATGAACTTTTAATAGTATATATGCAAACATGAACTTGTGCAAGGAATATTTTCATCTTTTTAACAAAAATTTTATTGGAAAGAGGACTCTTTGGCCGAGACAATTATTTTGCTTCTAAGGACTTTTAAGTGTTTTGTTCAAAAAAAAAGGACTTTAAGTGTAATTCTTCTTAAAAAAAAAAACTCATTACGAGATAACTAGCAATCAAAATTTTAAAAATATGGACCTACTCGTCTAACATGTACATCTTCATGGTTCAAGTTAACACAACTCATTTTTTAAAATGAGGCAACAAAATTGAGGATCTGATAGATTGGCTTGTCAAGTTGAACCCATCTACTCAACTAATAAGTATAATAGCAAAGCTCACACACTACGTCTATGAAACTTTAGTATTTGAAGGAGTGTGAGATCATCTACTTCTACTTGTCAAAAAAACAAACTATTCACTTGAAATAATTATAATAATTCAAATAAATATGTGAAAGATGAGTATAGCTTACTCTTTTAATAAATAAAAATGTTCCGAAAAATATCATATGTTTACAATATTATAAATTCCATTGAACTCATTAGTATTTTATTGTTTAATATTATTTAGATAAGTATATCTAATTAAATTCAAACAAGCATATCAAGGCAGATGATATTATTACATACTCCCTCTGTTTAAAAATGCAAGGCATTTTTAACCGAATCTCACCTCTCAATAAAGTAATTACCTACTTTTCATAATCCTATCTTTTTATATTTATTCTTATTAAATACCCTATAATAAATATAAAGTCATTATCAATAAGGGCACTTTTGAAAAAAAAAAAGTCAATGATTACACCTCGAAAGACTAAAAATACTTTACATTTTTTAATATTTAACTTTTTAAAAAATGCCTCACATTTTTAAAATAGAGCGTAAATCACAAGATCTATATGAGCATATGAAATACATAATTTAAAATTTTAACAAGTGTGCACAAATTTACTGTGATGCAACTTATAACTTATTTCCCAAAAATAATAAAATAACTAAATATATCATTTTAAATATCATAATTTTAAAGATATTTCGACTGCCCAAAACCAAATCATACTTACAATTCATCCTACTATATATTGGCTTCAAAGATTTTTAAGCATGCAACCTCAAAATAATTTGGAGGACGCTATGAAATATGAAAATTTAGTTCAAATAGTAAATTTTCTATTAAGAGTGCATATAACTTCATAACTAAAGCTGGCGACAGTAAGGGACTCCATTTTGGAACAAATTTTGGAAATGGAAAGTACTGAAAAAGGTCAAGTAATTTCATGTGATAGATGTCTCATGAGAGACTAGTTACTAACTTGCTCAAAGTCAAAAGGGTTTTTTTTTTCAAACACATATCTTTGCTTGTTTGAATGTGACAACGAAGAGACCATATCAGGTATATTGAGAGACTGCCAGAGAGCAAAATAGGTGTGGAACCATGTGTGGAAAACTAACACTATTTCTACTTTCTTCGTCGGCAATTTGCAGGATTGGCTAAATTGGAATCTGAAGTATAGTCCTACCCAAGAGAGTTTCTCCCAATGGCCATAGTCGAGAATCTCTTCTCTAATTTACTGGACATTGTGGACATCAAGATGCAAGTTTGTGTTCAAAGAAAACTCCATGAACGCTAAGAAGATTCTGCACAAGTGCCCTTATTTGCTTATGGAATGCCCTATCAACAACAAGCTTAAACACACAATATTCCAAGGCAATTGCTAGCAAGAGCAGAGATGGACCTGGGCCATTATTATGGTTCTATAACAGATGCTGAAATTGTTGTGATCAGGACAGGTTCAATTGTTGCCACTCAACTTGGCCTGCACAAGACAAGGGTGTACGCTGAATCCCTTGATGCTATTAACATGTTAATGCAAGACTGTATGATTGATCATTCGTCAAGGAGTATTTCATCTGCAACCCAAGAGATATTGTACCATGACCGGGACTTGGAACTGCATTATACAAGGCAGGAAAACATCCATTATATTGTGCCGACTACAAGGCCAAGGAAGGAAGGACATGGGAAACATATTGAGACTGTTCTGTCATCCACCATTCCACTTCTTAAAAGATAAGCAATATGCTTCCTAATCTTTGTTTGGGGTATTTTGCATTGCCCATCTAGGTTGTAAGTCCTAGTACTTTTATCTCAGGCTTTTGCTTAAGCATGCAATTTTCATGCCATATTTCATTCTAATCAAGAAAACGCAGGACCATATTTCATTCAACATGAATCTCCGAGCAATATTTACACGCTTCTGCTGGATAAACCAACAGCAACTTCTGGACCCCAGACCTAAAAGTCTCCGAAGCTGTAAATGTTCTATTTGCTACAAAGGTGAGATCATTGGTGACAACAACTAGCTTCCCTGGAAACTGCCGCTGACAATATCACCATACAAAGTTCAACAGCAGCAAGAATGCGATCAAAGTCAAACATTTTGTTGTGCTTAATAACACCTTAGAACATATTATTTAGGTGAACCACCAGCAACCCCATGATGCTTGTAGCCATGGCAAGTCTGAATTAAATGTCCCTTCTCACCGATAAATAACTCTGGACAGAATCTGAAAATGTATAATATGGGAAGATAAGAATTGTCTTTTGAGGAACTTGAGCTTAAGAAATGGAAGAGAGTAATCCCAAATGTACATTATATTACTAAATTACCTGACTTGTTCTATTTAATCAAATTAATGTTTGCCCATATTAACTAACAACAAACCAGGATCACGTGCATGAAAAATTACTATGATTTATTAGCATTTTAAGTGAAACAGGTCAATTGGCGACTCATCAAAATAGGCCATTATGCTAACTTGATAATAACAGGATAGTGATGGCCTGGTGACATTAGGGCATTCTAATATCACACCATAGAATCATAGGTAAAACAACGAAGTTATGTCCTCCACTAATATAATCAAACTTACTTGCAAGCCATAACAGGAGAGGACTTAAGGAGGATAGAAACGGCTTGGATGAGAACATTAATTCATAGCCTTGAGGACCTCCATTGCAAACCAGACCCATGGCACAAACTTGTATTTGTTGGCACGTTTTTCTACCAGCTTTTTAGACATGGGATTTGACAACCTTGAAACAGGTTGTAACCTGGGTTGTAAAATCCCATGTCTACATAACATAATACCTTCTTTCGCTTTGTAACAAAGTTTGTTCTCAATAAGACCTAGAGTTGGGGAACAAACATATTGACTCGATGAAAACAAGAGCGTATGGATCCAAATCACTTGGACTGACTGAAGACAAAGATTTGTTTACAAGGTAAAATACAGTGACAAAGATTTGTTTACAAGGTAAAATACAATGACTTCCTGTACCCAAAAAAAAAAAATAATACTGGCCTCTCTTTTGTTTTGATAAAATTTTTAGTTTCAAAACTAACACTTTATTTCAGTTGTTAGCACTGTTAGAAATATTTGATTAAAACTTATATTTCTATTTTTCTTTCCCTTTTTCTTCAATTGATCTTATTCAATTTATCAAGTATGATGAAAAGAATTCTTAATTCTATTAACACTGTTCTTTTTTTTTTAAGTATAAAGAGTAGGCTCTGTCAACAAAAAATATCTTCCCGAGATGAGCAATTGGTAGGTCCATCATAATTAAATTATTACATATACAATGATTAGAGTTTGAGAGCCTTTAACACTTATACCAACTTTACTTAA